TACATGAATTATATTTGACAATAACGTTATTTAAATAAGCTAGCTATATATTTAGCTACATTTTTTTTTCTTTAACAGTGTCATGTCTGACAATGTGGCAATAAGAATCATTGTCTTTATGCCAAAAAGAGCCCAACAGATTATACTTTCACAAGTGTAGCAATATGGCAATTGCCATATTGCTCCACTTGTTTCATGCATATAAATTGCTTTATTATAATTATGCAGGGAGTCTTACAGTTTATAAGGACACTGCAATGTAAATAGAACAGAACAAGAAAAACAGAAGAAGAAAGAGAACAGATTAAAGAAAGAAGAGATAGAAAGGAGACAATGACAAAACATTTTCAGTCTGCTTCATCACCTGTAACGAGATGAAAAAAGAACAGCACAACCGAAAGACATGGCACGAGACATACAATAAAGCAACACCTTGAAGCTATCGCTAAAGTAATATTATTAAGTCTGACATGTACTCTGTGTTACCTGAAGATATGAATGTGGGCTTTCTGTATGGAAGTGAATCTCTGAGTACCTGGAGCCAAGCACCTGTAATTGTTTGTGAGGGTGAACTTGTGCATGTAAAGTTTATCCATAGAGAAAATGCTCACTAGTGGTTGTGGAGAGCCGGAGAGGCACACCCTCAGAGCACTGAGTCCAGCGCCGGGAGACCCAAAGCCCCAGGCGCCCAAAGGGACCCCAAGAGCGAAGGCACCAAGGAGGGGCCAGCCCCGGAAATCAGACCCCCACCAAGGGAGGAGGAGAGACGGCACCAAGGAAGCCCCCAAGCCACCGCAATGTCGGCGCCCCGGGGGGCCGCGGGGACGAGTCCGCAGGCGCCGCCGGCATATATTTGACGGTCCTGGGCCCCAGGGATCCGAGGCCCCAGGGGCGTCCAACCCCCAGACAGGAGCCCCAGCCAGGCCCCGGCCGGTCGGGCCCCGCGGAGAGGCCGCCATAAATGAGCCAGCAGCCACCCGGGCATCCACCCCCAAACCCCGAGCTCCACCATATTTAGCTAAATAAGCTGAAGTGAACTACCAAAGTAAAGCCTGTCTATACAACTTCTAATGCATCTTCGTCACGCTGACAGGAAATCGCAAGTTAGTATATGAAAAAGACGTAATTAATCCCAAAACGCAATTTCCTCTGTGAAGTAGTTTTCTTTGACCGTATACATTTGTTTTAGAAAATGGGCAAATGTTATTTTAACCTGCACCACAGAGCTACAGCCACGCACATTGGTCATCAGTGTGTTGCCATAGCGACGACTGCTCCACCCCCGCATTCAATCCAGGCGCCTTCCACAGCTGCCAATGAGACTTCATTGGGAGTGATACTCAATAGTTAAGAGTTAGTGCTTAGCGGGTGGTTTGGGATTCAAACAACGACAAAGTGACTAAACAGAAATCAGTCCATCGTCTTAAGCCGTAGGGAGTTGTATAGATGTTCCCAGGCTTTTACTTTGGTAGTTCGCTTCCGCTTTTCGGCAAGTGAATTTGCGTATTAGCTAAAAATTAAGTATTTATTTATATACTTACTTAGGAGCTAAATATTTATTTAACAAACTTAATATTTAATTTGCAAACAAAATATGTTTTTAAACAAAGTAAGAATTTTATAAATGAAGGAATGACATAGTGAAAAAATTAATAGGAAAAAATAAACCCCTTATTTTTCTCTTAAAACACGCTAAATAAGCTAATAATTTTTGAGAGAGAGAGAGAAAAAAACATGAGAACTGACTGGTCCCACAATATGGACCATAGAAAAGTGTACAAAAATAACATAAGAAAATAAAACAAATTAAGCATTGTATTGTACAATGTTGTAAAATATAAACACTGTATCTGGAAAATAAATTTATAACAGCTATGGACATTTTCACAGTAATGAATATCTGAAAATAGCAGCAATATATATATATATATATATATATATATATATATATATATATATATATATATATATATATATATATAATATCCTCATTCAAAACTGTTAGAGGTCTATTGACGTCTCTGATCGGGAAACATCCAATTCTTTTTCTTACTATCTTAAGCAACATTAATTGCAGAATCATTCAAGCCTAGTTTGTGTTTTGTGAAAGATTTATGTTTTATGACGGTTTAAAAAGGGTGATTTCAGTGCTTTGTTAGCATCTGGACAACAGTAGAACCAGTCCAGTTCCATAACTATAGTAATTGGTGTCAAACCTAAATTTCTGATTCTAATTTCATAGCAGAATCTTTCATTGTACTTCGGGATTTTCTTTATATCCATCAGAGACGTCTGACTTCCTGGTGTCAAGATGAAACTCATCAGTCTTCTGCCGTTTCTGATCCTGTTTTTCTCATTCAGAATGGAAGGTAACACTTGGAAAAAAAAAAAATATATATATAATTTTGTTGAGTATGTTTTCTCCTATTGCAGTCTAATCAGTTGTCTATATCCATCCCCTGAAATATCTTTGTAAGTTAGTTGGATTGTGGAAACTTAAAGAGTTGCAACTGAAATGTAAAGTAACTGACCACTTTGCCCTATCAAAGGCACAATGTAATGCTACGTTTACACTTCATGCGATAGGAGCAGCAAAAGCTGCTGGTTTACATGCAAAGTCTATGGTTTAAGTGCATCAAGGCGCATCATCAGGTCCTGCAGTGTGTTTCGAGCAGCAGGACCAGTGCATCTTGGCACATCTGAGCTGCTGAAGCAGTGCCTCATGAGCTTGTGAGCAACTGAGGAGCATGATTGCGCTTCAGAAGCAGCAGCTCCTGGAATTGGAAAAATTTAGCTTTCGCTGCTCGACGCGCCACATCAACCAATCAGATATGCTGGTCTGTGAGCTGGCAGGGAGACGGACACAGCACTGCTCAAACAGACAGCTATAATCATTCCACTGAAAAAGTTTGTTAATGGCTAAATTAACCTAAAACGAACGGGCCTGAGGAAGCTGCTGCTGGATTGCCAGCAGCAGTGCACCGCCAGCACGTCGGGGGTGTGGGTTGCTCCAACAGAGAAATAATAGTTCATGGCAGGATGCTGATGAAGATTCTCAGTCATCCAGATCATAGTCATTCCGTAAAACAGCGGTCACCAACCTTTCTACAGTTGAGGGCTAATTCAGGGGCACCGAGTCACAGGAAGGGCTACCATTACTGACCTATGATTTGCAAGGGTCAACGTTCACCTAAACTTCATACATTATAAACATATCTTTATTGTTTCTTTAAATTTATAATTTTCTTTTAGACATTTTCATTTTTAAATCTCTATAAATGCTTAAATGCCATATATGTTTAAATGATAAATTGTTCTATAACCCTATAAAAAAAGAAGAGCAACAGAATACAGTGAAATTTCAAACGTAGCTCACTGTTGAGTTGTTCTATTTTCAGAAGACTCTAAGGGCACCCCTTGTGGTCCTTGAGGGCCTCTTGGTGCCCGCGGGCCCCATGTTGATGACCCCTGCCGTAAAAGTTTAAAAAACAATCCACTGGACAATGAAAAACAATTCATGGCAGGACGGTAATCTTGATGAACTGATCATGGAAAAAATATAACAAAGCATCTCTCTGCCTTTGAACACAGAAGCATCAGATGCATCTGCAAACACTTTACTGGACACGCTTTGGTAGTGTCAATGATGACCCTAATGTGTACAAGCATCGAAAATGAAACAGCAGGTGCTTTTTTGTTGCTTAAAGCGCGTCTGGTGTGAACCTAAAGTTGCAAAAAAAAAAACTACTCTGCATAGAGTACATTGGAACCAGCAAATGCAGTGAGTTGAGGGCGAATATTGTTGGTGTATGGTTGCCAAGTCCATAAGAAGTCCATAAAGATGTAGTGTCCCTCAGGTTGACCTTGCTTCCTCCTGGATCCCAGACCATAGATGGAGCAGAACATTTGTTTGCATAACATCCAGGAGAAAGAGACACATGGAGCCAGATTCAAATAATCTCAATTGTTTTTCTTCTGGCAGATGCTGGATTTACTGTCCTCCTTAGAGTCTTACTAGAACTCTTTATGGCAAAAATCCAATCATCCAAATTTCTAGATTGCTCTCGTCTTTCTGAACATACAGCTCTCTCCATGATCCGTTCCATTTTACCCACCAGAACGCTTTTAGTTTGGGATTCTGCTCCAATAGTGTCTGAGTGCTTGTAGCTTGGCATCTTCCATCACACAGACTGGTCAGCCTCAGCATGGCCTGAATGGCTGCCATGTACCCCATTTACACTACCCTTGAAAAACCGTGCCAAGACCGGTCCGAGCTCAGTAACTGAGATTACTTATCGTGTGTAAATGGAAAGCAAACTGAACTGAACCGAGCTAGACACAACCGGACCGAGCTAACTGCAGACCAGTTCCAGAGGTGGGCTCGGCTCGGTTTTTCCCTGCCTCGGTTCTCTGCTAACAAGAGCGCATGAGCAGAACGCGTCATCTCCGTCTGGCTGCACATCTCGATTCCCACTCCATTCCAGTAGTCGGCGGTAATGCCCCTCCGGAAGTTGCTTTCCAACCAACACAAAACAGAAGAAGAAGAACAACTATAAACAACAATCGAAATATTCTCCACGCAACATTTTAATTTGCTTGATTCTTCTTGTGTTTTATGGCGGTTGGCAAACAACTTTTGGTGCATTACCGCCACCAACTGCTTGATTTCCTCCGTCAATACTGACAGTAATACCGCAGATCGTCACTAGGAGGCGAGGAGATGACGAACAGAGACAGGGTGATGTGTGAACAGTTGTCAGAACCAAGCTCGGCCTGGTTAACTGATTCGAGCTCGGCCTGGTCCTTGGCATGGATCGGTTTTTCAACGGTAGTGTAAATGGGGCAATGGAATACTCCAGTTAGTGCTTATCCTAATAACTTCAAAATGAGATGGGGCTGATTCAGTATCGCAGTGTGAAATCAACCAAGCGGCCCTATAAAGAGGAGTGGGCAAGACTCCGTCCATCATGATGGAAAATAGACTCTAAGTTTGGCTTAGGCTTAGAGGGAATTACTGTCTCACATTGGGTTTGTTCAGAGGTGATGATCATGCTTTTAGTTCTAACTATAATTCATTTGTTTTGTCTTACAGGTGGAACGAGCCAAGTGTATGTGAAGACTGGAGAGAATTTAACTCTAGATCTTACAAATGCTGATGTTCCTAAAGATTTTGAGATGCTTAAATTGCTCAATAGTTCATCATCAGTCCTAGGAATATTCTCACCAGGTAGAGAACCAAATATGACTAGTAGAGCTGTGTTTTCTAGTGCAAAATCAGTGACATTAAAGAATCTACAGAAATCAGACAGTGGAGAGTATTCTATAAAAGTGACTGGAAATAAAGACTATAGACTACCGACATACTACAGCGTTACAGTTCAAGGTGGGTTTTCTTTTATATTTAAGATATGTACATTACAAAGAACAGAGCAGTTAGACTCTGATGTTCTTCAATGTTTTTAAAGCTTCTCTCACCTGCTCTCTCCATCAGATCCAGTGTCTCCAGTTAGTCTGAAAGTTTCTTCTTCCTCCTCCTCCTCCTCCTCCAATAAATGTACTGTGATCTGCAGCACAGAGGACTTTTACATCAGCAGCACATTCATGTGTGAAAACCAATCCTGCCACCAAGAGGGAGGAGAGAGGTCAAAGGTCACCAATACTGGGGCTTCCCTCATTATCCATCTAAATAATTCATCTATTATCTGCAACCATAGCAACAAGGTCAGCTTCACCCAAAATAAGACATCCATCCAGTCCTGCTTCCAATCTGAAGAAAAGGGTGAGGAGTTAATAGCAGTTGGTTAAAAACTAACTGGAAAACCTGCTTAGTAACATCTAAAACTAACAACCTGTTTTACCAACAGTTTTCTTGTTATAACATCTGATTTATTTCAAATAATAAACACTGCCCTGTGGTCCGATGTGTTCCTCCAAGGCCAAAAAACAGCAAAAATGAAACTGCTGTTGAAAAAGAGCAAGTTGGACAATCTGCTACTGCAGAACTACAGGCCTATCTCAAACCCCTCCTTTATCAATAACATTATGGAGAAGCTGTGCTTCAGCAGTTAAAGAACTTCCCAGAAATGAACAGCCGGCTTGATGTCTTCCACTCAGGATTGGAAGATCACTTCAGTACAGAGACTGCCCTCATCAAGGTGTTCAATGGCCGCAGCTGTCTCTCCACATGTCTGCCTAAAAACTGGATCAGGCAGCTGCAATTAATCCAGAATGCAGCCGTCTGTGTCCTCACTAAAACTAAGAAAAGTGGAACTGTACTAAGAAAGTGGAGCACAATACCCCAGTCCTTAAGTCAGTTTAAAACAGTTTCTTTATGACTAACTGAATAGATTTTAAAATACTTCTGCTAATCTATAACCCACCTAACACTGAAATACGTCACAGACCTGTTGTCAATGCATCAGCTGCCCAGGCCTTAGGTTTTCTGGCTCAAATGTACTCCCCATGAAAAAAACAAAAACATTTCCACTATGGTGATTTAATTTGAACAAGTTAGGTTTACAAGAGGCTAAACAGAACGAGTTTTATCTGTACCAGTAGTTCCCACAGTAATTAAGCCAGAGACAGCTTACAACCTAAAATGGTTCTAAAATCCTCTAAAAGGGTTCTTAACACCATATTTGATCTGTTCCTTTTTTGTTTTTTAGAATCTACAGACCATTCTATTTGGATCGCAGTTGGCTTCACTGCTTTTTTCACTTTTGCAGCTGTTTGTTTTGCTGTGGTATATTGTATAAAGAAGGTAAGTCTATTCTAATGTATCATAAAGATGCATATCTCATGAAAAACTACCTCCTAATCAATTACAGCCGATTTAGGTTTGAAAGTGTGCTGCATACACAAAACTATTGGGTCTGCGTTTTATGTCTTTTGCATATGTGATGATTAAAACTAGTTCAACACTCCTTAAAAGAATAAGATTTTGAGTTTTTATGTTCCAACCTTAGTTAGTCATAAAGTCATAATCACATTTACTGCAGTATTAAACCACTTTAGAAAAGGAAACTTCAGTCTTTGACTTATATTTAAACTTCTCAGCATTACTTTTCAGTTTGGTTTTGTGTGTTTCATAATCTTTTTTAGAATGTTTTAAATGTTCTGTTTCTTACTATTCTTCCTTTGTTGCTGCAAAGAAGCCCCAACCTTTCAATGGGTGTCCAAGAACAAGACGACGACATCATTCAGATCAGGAAGCAGGAGCTGAGGAGGAGCAAATACTTTAGTCTGCCATGATTCACCATCCCATCCCCTCATGGGCAGCATGGAAATCAAGATAAGAGCGACTAACCAGTAATATAAGAGCTTCCACTGAGATAGTTCAGTATACTGTATGTGGTTCTCCAATTAGTAAATACCAAGATTATTTATCACCTAGAAAAATCACCTTAACACTTGTATAACAGACAACATATGTAATGAAAATCAAAATAATATGTAGGGTTCGCAACCATGTTCTACATGATGTGTTGTTCTATTCAATTCAGTTTATTTGTATAACACCAACTCACAACACGTCATCTCAAGGCTCTTTACAAAGATAATTTAACCAGATCATACAGTCAGATTGGTTCAAAGTTTTCTATGTAAGGAAAACCAACTGATTGTATTCACTCTTTAGCAATCCTTTACACTAAGCATGCATGCAGCAACAGTGGAGAGGGTCAGGGTTTTGAAGAAATACTGTCTTAACTTACAATTTGATATATCAGCACAAGGTTTTTGCTTTAACACCAAAAGTTCCCCTTTGTGGGACAATAAAGGGATTTTTATTGTTCCAGTTTTAATTTTTTTTTTCTAAGGTCCAAAGTATGAAGATGAGAATGTATGGGACTACTCTCATTTTATTTACAAACAATTGTTTTTAATTACTGTATTATTTATGTAAAATGCACATGTATTATTACTTTATTTATGTAAATCACTTTTAATAGTCTTAATTATGATTTTTGCCATGCTTTAAACCCTGACTCGAGAGAAAATATATAAAATTTTAAGAGGATGCTAACTACCTACTGTAACACATGTTAGAAAAAATGGATGTGCTCTACCTGGTGTGGGGATACAGTTTTTGGTTGTTGTCTTTTTTCTTTCTTTTTTAAACCAAAACATTGTTTACCAAAAATTATGCCAAAAAAATAATAAAACTTTCAGCATGTTACCCCACTATCATGTTAATGTTTCATGCTTTTCATATTTGACTCCCAGATGAATAAAGAAATGCATTTTAAAAGCAGGTATAATGTAACCTTATCCACCAACTGTCCTCTGGGAGGCGCTATTTATCAATAAAAGCCTACCCTTTTTTCTGAAAGTCTGCTCTTGGAACAAATATTTTTAAACAATGTAAAGAACTAACAGCTAGGTTTAAATACACAGAGGCATATTTGCACTTTGTGTTTTTAATAAGAATGAAAAACGTATCTATATTATCCATTTTCATTGCTGTAATTGATTAAATTCTTACATTTTCAATGAGTTCTCAGCACATATTTAAATAAATGTGGATCATCCAAACAACCCTTTGAGAATATGAAGCCCTTTACTCAAAGATCTGATTTACATATGGGTTTAATATAAACAAAAAACATTGAACAGATTAGCTTTTGTGCATCTCATGCTAATGGTTTCCTGAATTTGTCTGTAAAGGTGCAAAATGCTCCAGAGCAAACTCATTTGGTCATTGGATAGAACCACATCCTGTGTAGAGAGCAGTGGTGAAAATCGTGAGGTTTCTAAACCAGAAACGTTTGTCTTACCACGGTGAATCTGTCCATGAATGCAAACAGATGGGGCAACGTGGTTCAACCTACGTTCAAGAAACAAACTTAAGCTGAGAATGAAAATCAGCTTTTCATTGGTTATAAAAGGACCAGATGCACCAGCTCACATCAGGGACACATTAAGGGGGGCTTTCTCAATTTCCACAAACATTACTGTTCAGTTTTCCATTAATTTTATATTGTAAAGTTTCTGCTTCAGTTCTATTTATCCATTACACTCACAATGTTGCATGTGAAAAAGAGTTGATTAATAAAAATATGCAAAGAATGACAAACATTTGGGTCATAACATAAAATAGTTATATATTTACAGTTATATTTTCATTTAACATAAACATTCACGCTTATGTGGAGATTTTTTAACCCTTTGCTTTACATGCCAGACATAAATTCAAGCTGAAATGTCCTCATCACAACATCAAGAAATATGTCAGTATACAAACAAAGACAACCGACTTTTTAAAAGACAAGCAGGGATCCAGTTATTTTTCTCTCTTGAACTTTTGAATGAGATGGACACCAATGACAGCCGACGCCATGATGATGAGACCGAGTGAGAAGACGACTTTCTTCACCAGACAGACTGAGAGTTCAGAGAGTCCCTCTGCATCTGCAACAATAACACGACCAGTGCAGTAAAATTCGACAGTGTATATCTACTCATCAATTAAGATCTCTACAAATCTGTTATTCCATCTAAAACAGTTTCTTGAATAAATGCTATAATGCAAATATATATTTTTTATGAAAAAAAAAAGTTTTTTGCTTTCTCCGGGAAATGTAGTTGGCCCAAAATAATTCATACCCGTTGAACTTTCTCACATTTACAAAGTATTGGATAATTGAAACAAGGAAGGAAAATATATTTGGTTTTTAGATTTTCTCGTTTATTTGAAACAAGCCCATTTTACTCTAACAGATCATGATAAAATCCAGTGCAGCAGACAACAAGCAACCTGGTTATTAGATTTGAGACCTCTATGTTTACTATGACCTTAGTATACATGCTGCTCTGTAAAGGGTAGAGATTGTATAGAGAACATTGATAAACAAACAGAAGATACAAAAGACTCACAACATCTTTTAAATTATTACCTGACTGGAACCTGCTAATGCAACTTGTGCAGGATAGATTATACTGTAGGTGGAGGCTTCATACAGTAGTAGTGAGAACTATGGTTTAGTTGTAGAGATTAGCATCTAATAATCATGCTCTTTACAAATGTGGCCTTTAGTGAAGAGTGGGTGTATTTGATTTCCTGTTCAGGTTAGACCAAACCAAACCTTTTGGCCTCTGTGCAAATTAAGATTTTAAGCAGATACAAGGAAACTGGTCTGAGTTACTGGGAAGATAAAGTTAAGCACAATACAGCCTAAGAGATACAGGTTTATAGGGGTCTAAAAAAACCTGGAGGCTGAGGTTGCTTATGACCTAGACGCAGATTACCTTTAATCTTACGCCCAGAGGAACAACTGAATGACAACCATTAAAGCACATTAATGTCTTAGAGAGGCCCAGTCAATGTCCCCACATTGAAGTCTAAGGTTGCAACTTGATAAAATGTAAAAAAGGCTAAAGAGGTAAGATTACTTGGGCAGGGCTCTGCAGTTGTAAACTTGTTGTAAATAGACTTACCATCACATTGCAGACAAAGCTGATCAGTTGTTGTGTTTTTCTCCGACCAGCTGACCTGGTTGCTATGGTTACAAATGACTGACACATTTGACAGGTAGATGTGGAGAGAAGCACCAGAATGGGTGACCTTTGATTTATCTCCTCCCTCTTGAAGGCAAGTGCTGTTGGTACATCTAACAGTGGTGCTGATGCGGGAGTCCTTGGTGGTGCACGTCACTGTTAGGTTACATAAGGAAGATGCGCTGGACACGGAGTCAATGACCAGATCCACTGGAAACACTGGATCTACAGAGAGGGAGTGAGGGGGAGAACCAATTTGAAGCATTAAAATGATACACAGAAAACGAGAAGAGTCTGCGGCTGGACGGTAAGGCAGCCATCCAGGAAGGCTTTGAAATGGGGCAGCCAAGAGCAAGGCTGGCCCTAATAGCAGTGGGTTTGCTTTGGGCCGATTCTGCAAAGATGTAGAGAGGAAATACTAGTCATCACCTTGTTGTGGTTGGAATAACTTTTTTTTTTCTTCCACTTGAGAACAGAAAGTTCTCAAGTGGAAAAACCCAAATCTACCATTGTCCCCAGTAGAAACTGTTACCTCTATCTTAATGTTAAATCTAAAAATATTTGAGCCATGCTGACTGAACATTTCCCACCGTCTCAAAAACATCAGTACGTAATCTCCTGCTGAAACCTGGAAACATTAAGTCAGAAGTTCCCCCTCCCCCATCTATTTGGGTGGTGTCCGTGAATTAATCCCAGGTTGATTCGACACTTCTGTCATAACTACATAACCACTACCTCACTGTTGTTCCTTACCTACTACCCTTTAATGTAAAAGTCAATCCACCTGTATATAAGCCATCCTGATTGTACATATGACACCTCAAATCTCTGTGTTACTCCCTTGTATTTTTTATTTATTTATTTTTTTTCATTGTGTGTGATACATGTACACTTCCACCTTAATTCTTATTCTTATCTTGATATACTGTATATACAGTGCTTGCTTGTTTATTCTTAATGCACCTTCTCCTCCTTGTTTGCACCTTCTTTATTTACTATGCCAATATGTGACCAGTGAATTTCTCCGCTGTGAGATCAATAAAGCTCATCTAATCTAACCTGACTGCTTCCAGAAAAATCAGTCGAGAAGATCCTGCCGTCAACGCCAAATTGTAATTTGAAAAAAATATTCAACTATAAAATCCAGTTAAATAAATGGAGATTAATGGATTTCAGTCAGTAAGCACTTAATTTTACTTTGCAAAGTAAATTAGGAGAACAAGACCATCAACAGCCCTCACAGTATGATGTTTCTGCTCTGTTCTGAACCAGACAGTGTTTGTTTCTCCCTCATTAAAACCCTGTAGGAAGGCTGTGAAGGTCTCCACATATCTTTACCTAAACAGAGACAGTTTGGAAATAACACATTTTGAAAAAAACCCCTGAGAAACAGCCTAGCTTGAGAACTAAAATTTATAACCCAAACACTCCTCTCACTCAGACACTTGCAGCTCTGAGTCCTGAATGAATGAAACTCAGCACTCATAGTTAATATATCTAAAAGGAGATTAATAGGATTTACAGTAGATTTTTTTCCCACCATACTTTGCTATTGGTTTTCCTAAACATACAGTCAGAGGAGAGTTGCTATTCCTGCTTGCTGCTGATTACAGAAACTGTTTTATTAACTTTTGAAGGTGCTATGCTCTTTTTTATCTTATATTTTTGGGTGGCAAAAAGAGGGGATCACCCAACTGTTTCGCCACTAAGGAAGATAAAACTCTGGTAACACATGCAACATCACATATTAACATTTTCATTAAAATTTGGGAACATTTAGTTAATTCTAAATATAAATAATCCTACCTTGAACTGTGACATTATATTTACTTAGTATTTGTTCTGAGTTTGCCGTTACCATCGCCATGTAAAGTCCAACGTCAGATTTTTGGAGATTCTTTAGTTTTATAGAGTATTTTCTTTCTAAAATGTCAATCCTTCCAGCATAAGCAATGCGGACATTTGGTTTTCCGCTTGGCCAGAAAGACACCAACACATCATCTGTGAAGAATTTCCAAATAAGAAGGTGAAAGTCTTTGGGAACATCTGCTTCTGAGATGTTAAGAAAAACATCCCCACCCGTCTGCACCGTAACAGAAGTGAAAACATCGATTCCTGTAAAATGTAGATAGACAGTAAGATAGTTAGGAGTGTCTGTTTTATGCTTTCTGATATCAGAAATCTTAATAAACATCCTTGTAAAAATCATACCAGGTTTACAATTCGCTTTATATTTTTTGATGAAATTCTTCCATTTCTTTAACTTATCTAAAGTTGCTAAAAATTGTGTTTTCCACACCCAAAGATATATTTCTGTAAACAGCAAAATCTTTAGGCTGAATACTTCAATAACCCAAAATATCATAAAGCATTTTTCACTTTGTTTTATCCTTACTTGAGCTCAGCTTGTCATATAATATTACAATTTTTTTTTTATTTAAAGTTGTGAATAACGTTAATTCAATTGTATATTATCTCCTACCTGGTATCGTAATGAGGATCAGCAGAGCCAGTATAAGTAACAGAGACATCATAAACTCCTTAAATGTATGCCTTTTACTCTCTGAGTATAGAATGTAAAGCAGGAAATAACAGCACCTCCGTGCATAAGAGAAATGTCACCTTTAAGCTCTTCCTGTCCAAAACCGCTACCTTCTGTCTGAGAACTCGAAAGCACATTAGTTTTTAATCCCTTTACCTTTACAATCAGATCTCAAAAACTTCTGCTTTCTGTTCTCCCAATTCACAATTCTCAATAAATGCTTTTTGAGAACCTACTTTGCAGCAAGACAAGTCTTTTTCCAAATATATATGAAACATAGAGCAGTTTGTCACCAAAACAAATCTAAAAACATTTTAATATAAGAAGATTTTTATTTTTCAACGACAGTAAGATGTATCTTCACAGTAGAAGGAACCACTGTTGGTAGAATTGAGATGATCAAATTAACAGCGTAGCTTCTACAGACGGACACCATGTTTAATCAAAGCAGCCATCAATCAATCTATTGGAAGAGGAGACATCTAAACCGTCTGATTAAACTTGTGAACTGTGATTTTAACACGATATTTGAAAATTAGGGGCTATTTTGCATACAAAAACATTTATTTTTTTATAGATAGAAACTGAAACTGTTCTGTCACCAGCCCCTTGTACTCCACTTTTCCAGTGTGGTGGTTTCTGCCCCCAGTGCTCCAGTGACCAAGGGTACAACTATTGCATTTACCTACCAGGTTCTTTCTAGTTCTTCCATTGGGCCTTGGTATTGTTCCAGTTGCTATTGTTCTAATTTCCTGATGTTTCCATCATTTGGGATGGTCACATTAAACATTACAGCTATCCCAACCGGCTGGCAAATAACATTCTGCACAGATGCTTCTGTACACCACATCAGCCACTTGGTTATGAGGTTTCATGTATTCCTTTCCTGCCAGTATCTTACAGCTGGCTGTGATATTCTGGATGGTTTCTGGGGCATCTTTGCATAACCTGCACCTGAGAAAAATTAATGGATTAACTTATGTGCGAACAAATGTCTTAGCTTATAAGGATGAATCAAAAATATGTAGTTATAACTGTTATGCTGTAACTGTATCATATAAGATTTAGTGATTTCGTCAAAAGGGAGAATGTGACTTTGTTAAGTTTTGTGCATTGGCAAGAGTGGAGGAGTAGGATATAATGCATCATTAAAACAAACTGTTCAGAAGGTTGGGGCGAGGTAGATTTCTGCACAGTCTCTGGACATCAATTGATAAAGAAAAAAAATCTCCAACTTCTGTCCAATTGTGATTTCTTCTCTCTGTCAATCAATGAATTCTGGGGAGGTAAGTGTAGCAACAGAATACCTTATTTCACCTACAGTAAACACCTGCTATGGCAGACCCAGCCCTCTATTGCTCCTGTGCTGTTATGATCAGTGCTTCTGTGCTGTTCTTCAGCCCAGCCCTCTTTAGCCATTGGTCTGGATTTAGTCAAGTCAGCCACTTCAGCTATCTGTGGTTGATACATACCATGCAGGGGTTTTTCCTCCCATGATTGTTCCTTCATTTCCAGCTTCCAGCTGAGACATTCCCCGAGTGCTTCGTCCTTTGGGGCCATCTTCCTGATGGATTCTAGGAGCGTGGATGTTTCATCTTTAATGGTGGCTCCAATTCTCACTAGGCCTCTGCCTCCTTCTTTGTACTTGGTTTAAAGCCTGCGGATACTGGATTCATGGTGGAATCCACTACGTGTGGTGAGTAGCTTTTGTGTTTAAACATCAGAGTCCTGAATTTTCTCCGTACACCAACTTATCATCCCAGCAGTGTATCCGATTACTGGTAAGGCATAGCCGTTGATTGCCTGGACCTTGTTCTGACTTGTCAGAACTTGCCTTACTCGCTGCAGGCATTTGGAGATATTTGTTCTATAATGGACATGAGAACAAATATATACATATTATCTGCTGCATATTTTTACCTATTATGTTACGGCTTTATACCACTCTTTATTTAATCAAAAATAGAATGGTAACAAATGTAAGTATTCACAGCCTTTGCATGAAACACATATTTTCTCTGATCTCAAGATGCGTTTGCAGCTGAACGGAGTCCACCTGTAGTAAACACAGCTTCATGTTAGAGTGCAAATACAAAGGATAAAGTCAGAGGAACTTTTTTTTGCTTAAGGTTACAACAAAACAGAGACCTCCATCTTTGCTAAATGGAATAAGTTTGGAAATGGTGGGAATCTCACTGGTCAGCCGTCTAAACTAAGCGATTGGAGGAGAAGGGCCTTGGTCAGAAAGGGTAACTAACAAGTCACTGTCCGTGCTTCAGCGTTCCTCTGCAGAGAACCTTCCAGCAGGTCAATAATGAAGAACCTATCAAGCCTGAAAGGTGGAGTGGCTTTATAAACAGCAAAAGTTTCCTTGTCCGATATAATGGATTTTGAATCCGGGCATTAATCTGTACAACTAGAGAGACTTCATGGATAAAAACAGGCAACAGATTGCTTCAGACTGGGGCGTAGACCCAAAGCACACAGACTAGATGTCAAAGGATGTCAAAAAGTTGTGAAATTGCCAAAATTTGAAGCTGAGCTTTTGGCATCACATGGCACATTGCTAAGGATGTTTTTTCAGAATAAAGTATTTAGTTTTATGTATGTAATTCAGAGTTTAGAACAGCCGAACAAGTAAAACTTGGATCTCCAAATATGTCTTACATTGCTTTGACTCAGAATAAACAGCCAGAATGTTGATTTATGGAGGCAATTACATTGAAGTGTTGATTTATTGATGCTTTTGCATTTGAGCCACTTACCAACTTTTTATTAGACGTATATGAGAATATTTTTTTAATATCCTCAGGATTAGCAGCAACTACCATCTAAAACTTCAATGAATGAAATGTTGTTGCAAGGTTAAATACAAACAAATGCACTTCAACAAATGATACAACCAAAGCAGTCAATGTGGCTGGAATGTGATAAATGTACTAAAATCTAAGACCTTTCAGGAGATTTATTGCAAGGAATAAGGTGGTTGGATTATTATTCATTTTCGATTTATTGTTGGAGAATAAACCTGACAAAAAACAAAAATAGATCTAATCAGACGACATACAGCCCCTGAGTCTCAGACGTCTAAACAAAGATTAAATTAAAAATGAAAAACACAAATAGTTATTCCTTCTAATATGCAACAATCATTAGTATTGAAGTTTTCTTTACTCAAGCATTGCACTTTGTGAGGACTAAACAAATCTTTGGTAAGCAGTTTGCTAATGTGTGCAGGGGATTTGGTAGGACGTCTAATACTTCCAGGAGAGGAAGTAAAGCTTCCCCTGTCCATCAGCACAGACTAGCTCACTGGGTTTTCTTGGGTTCAGCTCCAGAAACAGAACAGGACCGCCGCACACAAACATTCCCACCTGAATGACGATGACAAAAAAACAAAAAGGACAACAAAGACACAGATAATTTACTAAATACAGAGAATAAAACTGCAGCTGATAAGTTGAGTGGATGTTATGATTCAGAGAGTCTATCCTGAAATACAGATGCTTGCCTGTTTCTTGGTGTTTCTGTCCCACAGCTTCAGTGTGCGGTCATAGGAGGCGGAGATGATGACGCTGTCAGTGAGTTTCAGCTCACTGATCCTGTCCAGATGGACCTGAGGACAGAGTTATAAACAACTAATGATACTACTGTTTTCTCCTAATCAAACCCAAAATGACTATTTTAAAAGGATCAACTCCTGAGGACTTAAAGCATCCTTTAAAAATCCGAATTAGGATTCATAGTATGTATGAGGAATTTGTTTTGGCTGCTAAACACAAACAAACAAATATAAATATATACAACATTATATGAACTGTGAATTCACCCTAAATGCACCAGGGAGCGTTATCACAGATCCTTCCTCCCTGCAGCTGTTAAGACTTTATAACCACCACTGTTCCCAACAACCTCTATAAGTTTTTACATTCAGTTTCATTCTTAGTCAGTTAAATAACATGCTGCTGTCATTCTGCACATGTCTGATGTTGCTGCTATTTTCAAATATCCATTACTGTAAAAATGTCCATAGCTGCATATTGGTTATTTATTATCCAGGCGCACAGTTTTATATTGTTAAACACTTTACAGTACAGTATTTTATTATTTATCTTTCAACTCTTCACAATTATGTTATTCTTATATATTTTTCTAAGGTGTGACATTATTTTTTCTGTAATTTTTTTGCTGCTATAAACACCAGAATTTCCCCATTGTGGGACAATAAAGGGATTTTCTATTCTATTCTAATTACAGATACTATTTGTAGAGTGAGACACAATGGAAAATATTAGAAAAAAAGTATGAGATTAGATGTAAAAGTATTCATTTGCACATCTGCTGAGATGTTCAGTTTGTTTTTCTTTTTGTTGCTAATCAGAAACTAAACTTTGTTGGAATCAAAGCTGCCCAGGAGCATCATTAGCCCACCACAGAATTTAATCTTTAAAAAACATTTATTACAGTAAATAATCCATAATCCTGTGATTATTTTATTCTCTCTTCAAACACAAAAGTAAAAAAATATATATTTAAAGTGTTGATGGTGGTTAATCTCTTTCTCCATATTTAAGGGGAATCTGAAATCACAAATATTGCCTTTATCTGAAGACAAACTCTTTAAAACACTGTTATCCATCGCGGCTAGCTGGATTTCATGGATGCGTTTTAACTGAATTGGTGAGATGTGACCAGCTGAGGAGGAAAATACTGGAACGAAATGTCAGAGATGTTCGTCCAATGAGAAATATTAAGCATGCGTTAGTTTCAGGTTCATCGAAAACTCCTGTTTCAGGTCACTTTTAGGTTAACTTTTAACCTACTTCCTTTGGATCTGTTTGTTGGATTGGATTGTTGGTCTTGGATCGTTTTGATGCCATTTACCACATTTAACCTACCCTCTGAAAAACCAATCCATGCCAAGCTTGAATCAGTCAACCATCCCGAGCTCGGTTCCTTACGACAATTTGCACACCCTACCAACACGGTTCCTCATCAACATCTATGGTACTACTGCTGTCTAGATGTTAATAAGCAAACCAACATGGCGTCACCTGTAACATTCAGGAAGTGTGGTTATGATTGTGATATGTCGTTTGTGGAGAGTCAGGCAAAGAACGCAGCGTTTGGTGAATTTGCTTGGAAGATTTGGCTTTTGGGAAGTGGATGCGACAAATGATAGTCTAATCAGGGCTTACAGACGCAGGAAACAAGGACAGACGTTGAGGTTCATCACACTGCTAAGCAGAATCATCACTGGACATCATGTGGCATGGTAGGGAAGCTAGTATTTTTATGAATGTCTGAAATTTCATGATTAGGGAGGATGACTGTAAGGAGATGACGAGGTCTGCTCATGCGTTCTTTGTTATCTGAGAACTGAGCCAGAACTGAAACTGCCCTGTATTTATTTTTTTTTATTTTTTCCAACTTGCTTTGATTCTGTTTTATCTTCCTGTATTTTAATCATGTAAAGCACTTTGCATTGTCTTTGTACTGAATTGTGCTATACAAATACATTTGCCTTGCCTTGCCCTACTGGTGAACTAGTACCAGTTTAGCGTGGTTTGGTTGTGTCTGGCACGTTCCGGTTCAGGTCTGCGTACCATTTACACTCAACAGTTATCTTGGTTACCGTGCTCGGACAGTTTTCGGCATGGTTTCAAAAAGGTTGTGTAAATAGGGCTATTGCCTTCTTTGACCATCTTTTAGGTACTTTTCGTATTTCAGTTAATAATTGTGAAATGTTTAAAGAGTTGTATAAAATGTTTCTTTGACTATGATTTTGGGCATCTCAAACTAGAAGTAAGCCCAGTTGGTAAGCGCTGCCCTCTGTAACCCTACGTAACTTCTCTGGTCTGAGTAAGATTACAATTTATGTCAAAATCTGTTGCCATGTCTCATAGTTATTTAATCCATATACATTATGAAGTGTTATTTAAAGAGTTTGTCCTGACTGATTTCAGGGAATGAACTTTAGAGAGAAAGCTTCCAGATGTTAAACACAGAGCATTTCTTAACAAATAACAGATTTTTTTGTAGCCCTTACAGGTTTTCTTTTGCTCCATGATGAAATGTCTGGATGTTGATTGAACCACATGTTGCCTTCATCATCTCCACACACCACAAACTCTGAAAAACAGAAGCATCACATTAAAGCTACCAAAGTAGTTTAATAACAGCATCGAACGCTATGAATTCAATAATAACATCGTTATAACTGGTTAAACTTGTAATCCACGCAGGGCTAAAAAAATTTATCAAATTAATTGCGATTAATAGATTATTGGAATAATCTTAAACTAATGTAGTAGTCATTAACTGGAGTATAGAAACTCTAAAACATGCATTTAGGTCACACAGAAACCCACCAGTAATTACACCAAAATTGTAAAAAAAAAAAAAAATTGTAAACATTTGGTATTTTAGATAAAAAAATTTATAATCTGTCAACATGCTCTATCCAGAACTCCTCAAGTGGAAAAGTTTGAGTTTCATCTGATTTAATTCATCAATTTGCATATTAATCATTAGTTGCAGTCCTAAATCCATGAAAGTCACAGTTTGGTTTTTCTGCTTTAGCATGAAAACCACTCATTTCATGACAGCAATGAAACTCACAACCTTTAATATCTGTTGTGTTTGGTACCTTGATCCACAGTCATGGCTGTTATAGGGCTTTGTTTTTTCTCCACTTTTTCCTTCTCGTCACTGAACTTCATTGTCACTGAGCAGAAAGACGTCGCTATTTCAGTTGAGGAGCCCATGCCAAACTGAAATGAAAAGGAACCTTATGAATATTTAAGGAACACAGTAAATCATCTCACGCAATACATCTGGCTAATTATCATCTTTTGATAAATATGGTTCCTTGTGCACATTTTCAATATGTGATTTAAAAGAGGGTTGTTTGTCAGTTTTTGCCAAAAGGCTCAATTGCTGTTACTGTGAAAAGAAGGTAATGTTGAACTTTCTTCTGGTTTGCAAACAACCTGACTTTTTATTTGACCAATTCAATTCAGTTTATTTCTATAGCGCCAATTCACAACACATGTCATCACAAGGCACTTTACAGTTCACCAGATCCTACCGTCAGATTGATTCAAAGTTTTCTAGGAAAACAAGTTGATTGCATCAACTCAATCCCTCACACTAAGCATGCTTGTAGCGACAGTGGAGAGGAAAAACTCCCTTTTAACAGGAAGAAACCTCCAGAAGAACCAGACTCAGTGTGAGCGGCCATCTGCTGAGACCGACTGGGTTCAGGGAAGATGGAAGCAGACATAGAGGAAGCCAACTCCCATGTCAGAGGTTGAAGAGAGCACATCCAGCCAGTCACGGTCAGAGAAACAGGACTACAAAACAGGGCAACCAAGGTGTAGATGGCAGCAGCACAGCTGATATTTCTCTCAAGGATGGAGTCACAGCCAAACATAAACCAGCATTTAGACGTAACCTCAGATGAAGGCTGTCAGATTGAATAGAGTCAAAGGGAGACAGTAGACATTCAAACACAGCAGGAACAGTTTTTCCGTAGCCATAAACTACAATATCATCAGCATATAAATGTGGAAAAACGTTTTTAACAACATTGTTTACATACATAAAATCAGCATTGGACCTAATATGGAGCCCTGTGGCACACCTTTAATAACCACTGTGTTAAACAGTGTCTAATGCCTTAGACAGGTTAATAAAAAGTACAACAAAGTAGTGATTTGTATCCAAGGCTTCAATAATATCATTTACAACTTTTGCAGTAGCTGTGACTGTGTAATGTACTTCCTTGTGAAAACAGTGTGGTGAAATAAAAAAATATGAACAGTCTTTATTCGTTTTTCATAAACTGGCTTAAAGACAAAGGTCTGAGAGCACACGAGGAACACAATGCAGCACAATGAGCACAATGGCAGCACACTGCTCCCCAAGGGGATGGGTTAAATGCAGAGGTGAATTTTTATTATTTATTTATAATTATTAACAACTCTGGCTCCTAAATTGTGGAATGAGCCATTTCTCAACATTAGGAAGGCCTAATTTCTTTCTGTTTTAAAAACTGTAAAAAAGAAAAAACAACAATTAATTGCTTTGGATTTAAACTCAAAGTGATTTGACATCTGTGTCCTAATATTGGATATGTTCATTGTCTTTGAGATATTATGATTTCTATTTTTGTAAACTTGTTTTACTGTTTTATTGTTCTTTTTTTGTATATTTGCACTGCACTTCTCTCAGCTTTCATGTTATAATTTAAGTGCTTTAGAAATAAACATAGTAGGGTTTGGCATTGTTTCTTATATTCTGAGCCATAAAAGACATTTCAAAGGATGACACTTTTTTTTTTTACAGTGTAGAATATTATCCCTTTTTTTGTTTTTTTGTTTAATAGAATAACATATTAAATAAAAAATGTTAAAGTTTTGAAATTAATTCAGTGAGTTCTAAACCATCAAAATCAAGTAGCGTGGCTTGAATATCTTTTAACCAAAATGCATTGTATATAATTGTAGAATGACATGAAAAAAACTTACAAAAAAGCCAAGGCTACCATCTTCGCCACCTTCGCCGCCTTCGCCAGTCAACCACACACTTTTTTCATCATTGCGAACCACACTCAGAACATTTACGCTCTGACTCCAGCTGCAAACAAGAGACATGTTTAGGTATCAACGCACCGTATGAAACAGTGTCTCTCAGTGTCGCCTGAATCCTCTCCTAGAATCAATGAGTGAGAAAACAGAACATTTACACTGAGCAGAAATTCCCCCACTGGTCTTGGTCTTCACTGGTCACATCACACATACGTCCCAGGTTGGTGACGCCGATCAGCATGGAGCTGTAGAAGAGGCGTATCATCGGGTGGATCTGTTTGTGGGTCTTCACCTTCACCAGGCTAGAAGCAACAGAATATCAGAACTAAGGTTTACTAATAAACCTTAGATTATCAAAGAAGTTTCAGACACAATCTTGAACTGTTGATTGATGATATTTCTTGGGATCATAAAAACTTCCTTTTTTTTTTTTTTTTTACCAAGCTTTGCTGTATTGTTGATTCCACACCATCTTCCACACATCAACAACCATGGTGTTCATGTAGGTGACAGCGAACTGACTGTCAGGCATGGAACAGGCGGCTGTGATGGGGCCGTCGGATACCTGAAACAGAAACCACCCCAGAACATTACGAATTGATACAGCTACAAAACATATCACCATTTTAAGAACAAGTGTGGGCAATGCTCATATTTCAAATGGCTATTGGAGTGCGATACGTATTTCCTAATTTATTCCAAGCGATATTCTACATGCTAATGCAATATTTAGTTAGTTGGACAGATTCTTGCTAGACATGCTGGAAATACTAAAATGTTAAAGTGATGGAAGCACAGATGGGGAAGATTTCTGATAATCTGCAGCTCTAATTCAATGTTTACACTGGAAAAAACCATCTGGAAATAAATGAAAATGTCTTAAATGAAGTGTATTTACCCTTAATTTGAGCAGGAATGAGTATTTTTACTCTTAAAATAAGATAATAAGATTATATGCACTTAAAACAATGTAATTGTGTTTTCTTATTTTAAATGTAAATTGTCTTGTTCCATTGGCAAAATGTCTCTTACGTCCTCAATTCAAGAACAAATACAGTTATTCTAAGAAAATAATGACTTATTTAGATTTAGATTTTTTCCAGTGTAAACTAAGATGAATGACTCTAGATGTTTAGCTTTACATGGGACAGCAGAGATGGCAAAAGTACTCACTTTCCGTACTTGAGTAAAAGTACAGATACTTGTGTTAAAAAATACTCTGGTAAAAGTGGAAGTACTGATTAAACTTCTTTACTCAAGTAAAAGTAACAAAGTACAGGCTTGTAAATTTACTTAAAGTATAAAAGTAAAAGTAGAAACTACTTTTTTCATGCCGTTGCCTACATTTTAAATGGATGTCTACCAATAGGACTAGATCTCCGTTGTGTTCATTTTCAATCATCCCGTCGTCCATACTACTATGCTAACGCCACCGCCACCAAGCTGCAATGATTTGCCGCGAATGAATACCGCCGAATCTGTCGATTCATCTTGTAGTGGTGCGTCAAATCCAACGTAGATTCCCATCCAATTAGATTGAATTTGGTATTGATGACGTGAAAAATAATAACGGTAACTCCATTGAAATGATTCAAAACTAAAGTAACAAGCCAATTTTTTTTTAAATGTAAGGAGTAGAAAGTACAGATATTTGTATAAAAATGTAAGGAGTAGAAGTAAAAAGTCGCCATAAAAATAAGTAGTAAAGTAAAGTAAAAATATCAGAAAAATCTACTTGAGTACAGTAACCAAGTATTTGTACTTCGTTACTTCCCATCTCTGTGGGACAGTAAATCACAACTAGAACAGAAGCTGGAAGAAACATAAAAACTATTTTAACCTGCTTATGCTCAACAACCGAGTTATTCTGCCACAGCTCCAGCAAACCAGACTCGTAGCCAACCAGCAGGAAGTCCCCGTCCTTGGAGAAGCACAGGGCTGAGATGGGGCCTTTCAGGTTGGCAGCAGTATCTGCAGACACCAGACAGAATCGGCCTGGTGTTGATCAGATCAGCAAACTGAAGCAGTTTGATTTCTGTTACAGTTAAATCCAGCACTTAATTACCTAAACTTAATCATAGGTCTCTAAATGTCAGTCAATTCAGTAAACAACTTATTTTGTATTTGGTCATTGTTGTCAACACACATTTGTACATTTCTGATACATTACATACTCAGATTTCTAATTTGTTCTTATAAATTTGTGATTCATACTGATTAATTAGCAATTTCTACTTGCAAATTTGTAATTTTTAAGAACTTGTTATTTGTTCTCATAGTAGTTTTTCTCATAGTTCTCATTAGCACTTGTTAACCTGTGATTCATTCTAATAAATTTGTGAAGGTATTCATAAATTTGCAATATGTGCTCAGATTTGTGACTTGTTTTCGGCTTTTTAAAGAAAATTGATATTTTAATTTGCAATTGGTTCTTATTGATTTGAGATTCTTTCTTATAAATTTGTGATAAATCATATACATTTGTGATTTGTTCTTATAAATTTGTGATAAATCATATACATTTGTGATTTGTTCTTATAAATTTGTGATAAATCATATAAATTTGTGATTTGTTCTTATAAATTTGTGATAAATCATATAAATTTGTGATTTGTTCTTATAAATTTGTGATTAATCATATAAATTTGTGATTTGTTCTTATAAATTTGTGATAAATCCCATAAATTTGTGATTTTTTCTTAGAAATGTGTCATTCTTTCTCATAACGTTGAGATTTGTACTTGTAATGTTTCAAAGTTTTAACCTTGTACCTTGTATTTGTAACTTCTAAATATGTTCTCACACGTCTGAATGTCGTATGAATGTAGAGGTTGAAAACAATAAAAGCAAATACAAACCCCAAACTTATTTACATATTTGACTAACATTTACAAATATGGACACCTATGTATCCATTTTATTGACAGTTACCTTATCCCAAAGTTTTAGATCAGTGGTTCTCAACCCTGGTCCTGATGTTCCACTGCTCTCCATGTTTTAGACGTCTCTCTGTTGTAGCACAGCTGCTTCAAATGATTGCATGAGCTTCTCAGCAGCCATCAAGTACTGCAGAACCCTTTTAATCATCCCCTTATGCAAGTCTGGTGTGTGGAACCAAGGAGTCACCTTAAGCGTTTTGTGGAGGGTTTCGCACATTTTTTGAAAGACCTGCCCTCTCCGTATATGAGAGCGTGCACGAGCCCATTTCTCCTCGTGCACACTCTGTTTAACAGTTGCTGTATGCATACCTCATATAAGCTTACTGTGTCCGATTGTCCACCCCAAACCGCTGTTTATACTCCCTGCAGCAGTTTGTCACAGTGAGCTTGTCGGAGGTATGACGCAGATATATTTGATTTACTCTCCACGTTCTGCCACACAGGGACAATCAGGAACTAGCTGTGGGTCTAGATACGGCCAAGATGGTGAGGAAGTGGGGGCAAGTTTTTCCGACAAAGGAGAGAGATGAGGGCAAAAAGAGCGGGGATCCAGGTGGGTCCCAGCGTTCTCACGCACCTCGCTCATCTAGCTGGTCCATCTTCACGAGTCGTTTTCCGCAGTGGCAGTCATACAAACAAAACAAGCCAGTAAGGTACCAAACAGGAAATACGAATTGTGTAGAGCAGATTTCCATTTGACCAATCAGAGGCCTCCTGTCTGCGTCACTGTCTGCGGTCACCTACAATTTGGTAGAGGTACGGCAGAGTGTCTGCGGAAGGGGCGGGGACCTGGTTTATAAGTATAAATCAGCCTTAACTCCTAAATCCCACAATCACTATATACACTATATTGCCAAAAGTATTTGCTCACCCATCCAAATTATTGGAATCAGGTGTTCCAATCACTTCCATGGCCACAGGTGTATAAATTCAAGCACCTAGGCATGCAGACTGTTTTTACAAACATTTGTGAAAGAATGGGTCGCTCTCAGGAGCTCAGTGAATTCCAGCGTGGAACTGTGATAGGATGCCACCTGTGCAACAAATCCAGTCGTGAAATTTCCTCGCTCCTAAATATTCCACAGTCAACTGTCAGCTGTATTATAAGAAAATGGAAGTGTTTGGGAACGACAGCAACTCAGCCACGAAGTGGTAGGCCACGTAAACTGACGGAGCGGGGTCAGCGGATGCTGACGCGCATAGTGTGAAGAGGTCGCCAACTTTCTGCAGAGTCAATCACTACAGACCTCCAAACTTCATGTGGCCTTCAGATTAGCTCAAGAACAGTGCGCAGAGAGCTTCATGGAATGGGTTTCCATGGTCGAGCAGCTGCATCCAAGCCATACATCACCAAGTGCAATGCAAAGCGTCGGATGCGGTGGTGTAAAGCACGCCGCCACTGGACTCTAGAGCAGTGGAGACGCGTTCTCTGGAGTGACGAATCGCGCTTCTCCATCTGGCAATCTGATGGACGGGTCTGGGTTTGGCGGTTGCCAGGAGAACGGTACTTGTCTGACTGCATTGTGCCAAGTGTAAAGTTTGGTGGAGGGGGGATTATGGTGTGGGGTTGTTTTTCAGGAGCTGGGCTTGGCCCCTTAGTTCCAGTGAAAGGAACTCTGAATGCTTCAGCATACCAAGACATTTTGGACAATTCCATGCTCCCAACTTTGTGGGAACAGTTTGGAGCTGGCCCCTTCCTCTTCCAACATGACTGTGCACCAGTGCACAAAGCAAGGTCCATAAAGACATGGATGACAGAGTCTGGTGTGGATGAACTTGACTGGCCTGCACAGAGTCCTGACCTCAACCCGATAGAACACCTTTGGGATGAATTAGAGCGGAGACTGAGAGCCAGGCCTTCTCGTCCAACATCAGTGTGCGACCTCACAAATGCGCTTCTGGAAGAATGGTCAAAAATTCCCATAAACACACTCCTAAACCTTGTGGACAGCCTTCCCAGAAGAGTTGAAGCTGTTCTAGCTGCAAAGGGTGGACCGACGTCATATTGAACCCTATGGATTAGGAACGGGATGTCACTTAAGCTCATATGTGAGTCAAGGCAGGTGAGCAAATACTTTTGGCAATATAGTGTATATTGTAGACTATATAGTGGACTTTATAGCGAACTCAGTTAGCGGACCATTCGGACAGATGATCACTGCTTTTTGCTCACTGTTGGTCTCATAACTCCCCCCCATTCCGCACGGTGCCGCCTGCACCATCTTTGTTATTAGTCTCCGCTGTCGGGTATTGGCGGCGGGTCGCTGTCACAGTTTGCGAGGAGAACTCTCCACGCAAAGCATTCCTGGATATATCTGCCTCTTCTCAGGCCTTTCTTTTTTTCTCAACACTTTGTAGACACTTTTTCTCTTATGACCCTCAGCCATTTTCAAAGAACCGCGGTGAGAAAGGTGAGTTTCACTGACTGTCTGAAACCGTAGCTGACCACAGATACACGCCTGAAAGTGCGCATGCAAGAAAAAGATGGCTAACGGGACGAACAGGCAGGATGGCCTTATGTAAACATATCACCAGAATGATTGACAATAAGGAGGACCACTTATTTAGATGATCCATCTGGAAATAAAAGATTGTCTTCTATACCTTTAAACAGGACAGTGGTTCTTGAACACCAGGATTGAGAACACTGTTTTAGGTCACAGGTAGGCATCTCTGGAATAGTTTTACCTGTTTTCCAGCATCTCAGTGAACCATCTTCAGACACAGTCAGGAACTCTGGGACTCCTTCTTTTTGAGCCACTCCATGAACGGCACCACTGTGACCCAGGAAGGCGTGTAAGTGCTCAACCTGAAAGAAGAACTTTATTAAACCTTAGGTCAAACCTGAGGAAATGTAATAACCATTCTGTAAGTGAAGAGTAAATGCTGCAGATGAAAGCTGCGTGGACATTAAGTAGAATCTAATGAAATTAGTTGATTTGATCTCAAGTGGGATACCTGCAAAGGTTTCCAGAGCTGGACAGAGCCGTCATCAGATGCAGTGAAAACCGTCAGCTCCTCTGGTTTGGTTTCCTTCTCCGGGACTAAGGACAACATTTCAACTTTCTGTTATTTCCAATTTCAGATTAGAATAACACAAGAAATTGAGATTAGGTTTTAATACCTGTGCTTGGGACGGGGCGGCAGTAGTTTATACTTTCCTTGTGAGCAGATATGTGGCAGATTTCCGTTTTGTCTTGCCACTTCCAAACATGCAGCGTCCCCTCTGAGCAGCCAGCAATTACATGCGGCCCCTGATCACAGAAACACCAACACTTATCTGAATAAATGTTTACCAGAATCACTTTAAATATGATTTTACTCCATGTTCCCTTGACTTCTAAAAACAGAACAAAGGAAAAATCCAGATTCAGTTCCGAGGAACAAGCCCTCTGCTTTCATCCCTCCAGCAAGTTACATGTTTATGTGAAAAACAAGGATTAAGACTTTCTTTAAGCCTATATCTAGAGTTGTTGAGGTTTTCTGTAGGTTTTCTTAGGTTATTTCTTTAGTTATATTTTTGTAGGCTGCTATAAAGACTACTTTCATCATCGTATCCTGCTACTTTCCCTTTGTGCATCATTTATTGCTGCTATTCATGCTTTGCTCTCACTTCATTCTCTTTACATTAAAGGTACACCTGGTCTACTTAGCTGGATATTTCTCTTGTATGTTCCTTGTTTTCTCTCCCATAGAAGGTAGACTTTGTTCAGTGATTCTGTTCTTACCCCTTTCCATTCACGGAGGGTTCTATTAACAGAGCTGTTGCTCCCAAAGAAACTACCCAGGACTCAATGATTCTAAGTTTAAATATTTAGTACTTCGGCTGCCATTAAGATTGTTCACAGTACTACCCTTTTCTTCCAAATAAGGTTATCCAAAAGTTCTGGCTACCATTAAATCAGCTTTTTTTTAAAATAGAAAGCACTTCAGGCTAAGAGCGACTGTCATTAGCTGTTTCCCTTTCATTGTTAGAGCCCCTGGAAGGGATATTGCTGCCATTAACGTTGGGTAACCTTCTTATCTTTATCATATATAAAGTACTGGGGACCTGTTTTTTTTTCTAGTTTTTGCTGGTGAGTTTTATAAGAAACGTGTTCTGACCACCATGTAATGTAACTAGACTGACTCTATTAAAGTGCATTACATTATAAGCACATTGAATTATAAGAAAGATTTAAACATATTTAGTTGACTGGCCCTATGTTTATGGTGCAATCTAGATTAACTAAATTAAGTCAACTTGAGAAACGTCTATTTGAGGAAAGCAAAAAAACACACAGTCTGAACTTGCTCACCACACAGCAGACTGAGGAAAGTGGGTTCCTCCAGGAGATTTCTCTGAGACAGGAACCTGTTTCCAAGTCCCAAAAACAAAGCCTCCCATCATTTGATGAGCTTATCTGGAAGAAAACAAAGAAGAAATGACTATGTGTAGGGAGGTTCATTGAACAAGTTCAGAATATTTTAGAGGGGTGATTATTTTCAGGAATTTTTAGGCTCTAGTGGCCATTATATTTGTCATTTTTCAATAGTAGGCAGATGGGAAATGATAAAGGAGAAACTGGGACTCAAACCTGTGATGGCCGCATGAAGAACTAAGCCTTCTTTCAGTTCTTTTTGTACATTGATCGTGCACTTAACCCCTGCACCACCAGCAACGCACCATTTTCACGACATGTTTTGACCCGGTTTTGTTACATTGTATGCCAGAAACGGACATTTAATTTCTTCAATTCTGTGCACTTTGCAAACTTTTCCTGATACACTGCTTCGACATTTAGGTTTATTCTTTTTTTTAGAACAGGATTAACTAACAGAGGTTTAAATTGCCCTTTTGTTGTGTTTTTTGTTCCCTATAGAAATCCCTACTGCTCCAGTTCTGCTTTGATTTATCTGTCTGCTTCCAGAACATCTCAGCCCTAAATGCAAATAGGATCATTCTCAGTGTTGCTCCTATGGATATTTCCTCCAGTCTTCTCCATTGCCACCACATACTTTATGAATTGCTGCCATCAAGGATTTAATATCCACTAGGTTTCTATTTATACAGACATTTGTTTCCAGCTGGTATTGAATTATTTTTTATTATCATGAGAATTAAAGCATTGCAAGCTTTCCAACAATTATGGTAATATTTATGTAAACGTTAATACATGTAAATCCCTTTATTATCCCACAATGGGGAAATTCACTCTCTGCATTTAAATTTGTATAATAATTTGTATTTTCAAGATCCAGTTTTTATTTAGTATTTTGTTTTTTGTATATAATGTAGCCTTTAAATAAACAATACTACCAAACTGTGTCTTAACTGGTTAAAATACAAATTCTAAAAGGACAATACATACTTCTATAAACCACTTTAGGTATTGTTTGATGATTGATCATTTGTAACTTATTTAAAAAACACTATAAAAACACCCAACAGGATTAAAGTGTTTATACAATCATAAGTTGGTAAGATATTTAACATAGAGAAAAATGAGAACTCACAGTGCAGTCAGGGGTCCAGGCACAGTCGGTGATCCAGTCTCGGTGACAGTGAGGGAAGGATTTCAGAAGAGCCGCTTGAAAAGGGTCGGGATTCCACAACATTAAAGCCTGAAACAAACACAGGCCTCATCAGAACAGAAATACAGCTTTTAGACCTTAAACAAAAGAAGTATGAGGTTAGTAAAGTATGAGTTGGACTATTTATGGGGAAAAAAAGGTCTGTAAATTAACTGAGCTGAAGTAGGTACCTTATCTTTTCCACCTGAAAGGAGCTGAGAACCATCAGGGCTGAAAGCCATGCAGGTGACTCCTCCTTGGTGTCCTCTCAGCACAGCTGATACTTTAATGGAGGAGTTCTCGGTTAGGTCCTTCAAAGGCCACAGAGCGATGGTGAAATCATCTGTTTTTGATTGAGAAAATAAAAAAATGGTTATTAAAGTGAACAGTTCGGTTTCTATCGTCTGTTCTTTATATATAGTATTGATTAATAACCAGTCTGTTAAGTTATCTTTTTTGTTTTACACAAAAATTAAAAGGCTTTTTCATAAAACATACTTACAGAATTTACTACACATGGGACACTAGATAAAGTCTTATCTTGGTTTTACAAATGTATTCTGACTAGTGTTATACATTAAAACATGTACAAACTGTTTTTTCTATTGTCTGATGGTTTTAATGTGCCTCTCTAAACAAAGAGAGTGTGTATTCCCAATGTTTTCCCAAATGGTTAGTTTGGTCGTAAGGTACAGTTCAACGAGGCTTTTTAATCCACAACAAGAGCCATGCATGTCTTCATGAAGACCAGCATTTTTTTTAAAGTTAATAAAGAAAACTGTCCTTAAAGTCATAGGGAAGTCATATTTGAATGTAAAATAATTTTGGCTTAAACATGTATATAAATCTGTGGGTTTTTTCCAATATCTTATGCAGGCTAGTTAGTTATACGTCAGCTTGCACACCTAAATTTGGCCAATCATATGTCAACGGTCATCTGCTAACGGTCATCTGCTAACAGAACTGGCAGCGTTGCGAGGCAAGGGCTCAAACATGTACGGCTGTAAGCCTTCTACACCAAACCAAGCTTCTGCTGCCCTGGCGTCCTCTTCCACAACATCTTCGTCCCTACTTTCCTCCTCTAAATAAATAATGTATGATGGAGGAGATTCATCAACGACCTCTGACACTAAACACTAAACTCTCCTCCTCTTGCATGTTTCCGCTGTCCATAGCGTTCCTTGACAGCATCGTTTCTAAGTCACCAATTTAGTGCTACTTGGTATTTTTCAGAGATGGGAAGTAACGAAGTACAAATACTTGGTTACTGTACTCAAGTAGATTTTTCTGATATTTTTACTTTACTTTACTACTTATTTTTATGGCGACTTTTTACTTCTACTCCTTACATTTTTACACAAATATCTGTACTTTCTACTCCTTACATTTTAAAAAATTGGCTCGTTACTTTAGTTTTGAATCATTTCAATGGAGTTACCGTTATTATTTTTCACGTCATCAATACCAAATTCAATCTAATTGGATGGGAACCTACGTTGCATTTGACGCACCACTACAAGATGAATCGACAGATTCGGCGGTATTCATTCGCGGCAAATCATTGCAGCTTGGTGGCGGTGGCGTTAGCATAGTAGTATGGACGACGAGATGATTGAAAATGAACACAACGGAGATCTAGTCCTATTGGCAGACATCCATTTAAAATGTAGGCAACGGCATGAAAAAAGTGGTTTCTACTTTTACTTTTATACTTCAAGTAAATTTACAAGCCTGTACTTTGTTACTTTTACTTGAGTAAAGAAGTTTAATCAGTACTTCCACTTTTACCAGAGTATTTTTTAACACAAGTATCTGTACTTTTACTCAAGTACAGAAAGTGAGTACTTTTGCCATCTCTGGTAATTTTCCATTGGGAACCTGCTAGCACTGGTTAGCAATGATGCTTCAGAGAAACCTACCACCACAACAATCCCGCCCCCCTGCACCACTTGGGAGAATTCGGAAATGCAACAGTTGGAACAAGCTGCTTCCCTAAGACTTTTAAAAAAGAAAATATGTTTGGTAAATAAATGTCCAGTTTAAGCTGGACCATTCAAATGTTTTCAATTTAAAATTTATATGAAGAAAATGCAGCCTGGATTTTGTGAAATAAATGGAAAGATAAATGGTAAAACAATGGCCTGAGAAAGAGGACCCATGCACTCTCATTTTAATTATTTGGGTTCCTTATGGCACCTGAACCAAAACCATCCATATTCACCGTGAGCCTGGCATGAATCTCAGCTGGCAACACCTTTTTTCCACCCCCCTCTTTCTTTTTGGTTTTACTGTTCTTACCACCCCGAATACCATGGAGCCCTGAGCAGTGGGCTATAAATAAAAACCACCACCTGGAGAAGAAACACTTTTCTAATACAAATATCTGATGCACGGAGAGAGAAGACACAGTATGGCGCATGATTACTTTGCTAAAGCTAAAAGGAAGAACTTTACGAGTGACTCTTACCTGAAGCTGTAGCCAAAACAGTGGAGTTTTGCTCCACTGCCAGGATGCTTTCTGTTTGCACCCCAAATGTTTTCAGGTGTATCAGGCCTTCAAGCATTCCCTCTCCTCCTTCGGTTTTCCTCCACAGCCTCAAACATTTGTCGCTTCCTCCTGAAAGCAGCAGCTCCATCTTGCTCTGCTCTGGGTCCAGGTGAACCCACAGCAGGCAATGTACAGAGGCACTGAGATCTGTAGAAAACCACATCTTCTCTCCTACCGAGACAAGAAGATGTATTTAATGGAACTGATTTTCTAAATAAATATTAAAAGTGCAGATTTTAAAAGGTTTATTTCTCCTTATTTTTATTTCAACAAAGTTTTAAGTTAAACGAGACATTTTACAGTATGAGCTGAAATTGACTAAACTTTATTATGAACAAAACCACATAGCATTTTTAGCATTTGAAAATAAATCAGAAAAAATGAACCAGTTTAAAAACTGAATTAAATAGTTTACATTAGGAATGTAAAACTATAGTTATTTAAAAACAAATGTTTGTTTTTTTTAAACAAAAGTTTTGATTTGAAGAGACATTATTAATAAATATCTGCTCAAAGGATTTGTTCAGTGTTTGAATTTTGCCACCATCCACTGCTATTCATTTTTAAATGGAAGCTTACTGGTATTTGTAAATGCAGTATTACCAGAGCATGAATAAGTTGGATAATTTCCACTCTTTAAGGGCAAGAAGTATGCAGACTAGACTTTCTGACGCTCCGTTTGCATAAATTGACAGTCGATAAACTCCTGTCAGCTTATAGTCTCAGTCTAGCCAAGGTCCTATATTTTAATCTACTGAAAATAGCGGGTTTACACGTGTTTTTTGACACACTAACAATTGTCATTTGGTTACCACTGGCAAAGAAAAGCTGGGTCTAACCCCCAGGCGTAACTATCTGAAGGACTGGGGTGGACATGTCCCCACCAATAATTGGTGGGGACATGTCCGCTGATTTACTTTAGCCAAAGGTAACAGAGTTGGCTGCAGCTAACTGTGTTCAGAGAGTTTTGAGTCCATCTTTTTTTTTTTCCTCTCTCCCACTGCTCTCGTGTCCCGCATCTCGGTGTAAAATCCTCAGATCTGTCGCTTTGAGTCATCTGATTTACGGTCGGATTTCACTGAGGTACAGAGGAGAGACACACAGCAGCACACAGTGAATTTAACCAGCAGCTACTTTGATGTTTAAGTAAAACTTAGGAGACCGGTTTGTAAAAAAAAAAATTAAAGTTCATACCACTGAAAGCTTTTTCAGTTAAAAATGGCAACAGATTGTAAGTTTATAAAAGTTAGTAATATAACAGTTTATTCTTCTTTACTAGTTAGAAAAAGCTTGGCTTCTCAGAGGATCATGACTCCAAGTTACAGGTTAAAATGTTTTCTTATCTTACAGACAAAATCAGACTGCAGAGCTTCTACATATCTTGAAATTTTGTTTCTGGCATCATTATATTAGTAAAGAGGGTCATTAATCTTTTTAAACAGAGCACAGAGAGAAGTAGGGAGAGCTGCACATTTGAAGGTAAAACAGATTTACTGGGATAATAAACATGCAGTAAAATATATCTCCAAGTTTACCAGAAAGTTTACAAAATAAATATGCTCTGCTATATATAAAATTCAGCATATTCATATTTTTCTGGATGGATGGATTGAATTGAAATGGTACTTCAAGGGATGCATGATTTATATTTTATCTTGGCAAGATTGATGACAATGGTGTCACATCATTTAGCAGGTCAACCACGGCTCTGTTGTTCCCACAGCATGTTGATCAGAGCCGAGGTGATTTAAACGCTGGCTGCTTGCTGAGTCGTTTGACCCGATTAGAGACACGTCAGTGAGCTGCTCCCACTGCCACTGAATGCTGACTGTTACCGGGTTTAAACCAATGAGAAAGGGGTATGGACTTAGAGTTAGATGTAGAGCTCTATAAACACTTTTTCACATTGCCACGAGGAGCCACTGTATGGAGAATTTTGAGTAAATAAGTTAATCAATACTATTTACGGTTGAATACTGTTTTAACAAAGCTAAAATTAGAAAAAAATGCAGCACTAGGAATACATTCCCGTTGCACTGTATATGATCAGACTGAGTCACTGGATATATATCAACAGGTAAAACAAATCTGTTTTGTAGGTTACAGTGATTAATTTGTAAATTGAGGCAATGTAAAATAAAATTCAGTCAGTTAAAAGAAAAAAGCAACAAATCAGAACACACAAAAGTCCTGATCCATGAGAACTTTCTATGCCAGGAAGTAGCAGCCGAACCTTGTTTGTGGCTTCATCCATGTGTTAGATTTTTTTTATTTTTTTGTGAAAAGAAAAGCATTCATGTCTGTTTAATCTAAATAAGCCATGTTTACAGATTTTTTTCTCCATCTGTCTCTAAAACACACCTGAATCAACCCTGAAGAGTTTGATGCCGTCTCTGTGGTAACCAACGACGGCATAGTCTCCATCAATCGCCACGCAGAGAGCAGCTGCCTCAGAGGTTAGCTTTTTCTTCTTCTGAGGTGGCTCAAACTCACACTAAGAAAAACAAATGATAATATTTTAAAGAGAGCACAGGAAAACGCTACAATCCTGATCTATTTGTGAAAATAAGACAAAATGCCTTCGTCGTTAATCATCTAACAAGCATTACTGGTTAGTTATTCATGATCTGTTTGGTATGGAAACAAGTGCCCCCCACATGAAATATAATAGTTATGGATAGCTTTAAGTAACGAATCTGGAAAGTCATTATTTATGTAGAAACAAATGCTTACTTCATCACTTTTTAAAGAAGCGACTGATCGTCCAAGTCCTCCTGACCAGAGCTGGAGCTGTTTCACAAACATAGAGAGACTTTCAATGTTTTTATGCCGTTTTTTTTGCTACATAGACTAAGTACGTCTAAAATGCGTGTTTGAAAATATTTCATTAAAGGTTTGCAGTCACTTTATTAAGCTAATTTAGTACAAAACACCAAAAATAATTGAATCGGCTGACCGTGTGATCAGAGCCTGCGCTCAGCAGCATGGATCCTTCCTCCAGGAATGTGAGCGTCTCAGTGGCTCCGCAGTGAGCCTGAAAGCATCCCACACAGGTGGAGGTGGACGTCGACCACACCCTCACCTCTCCGGACATGGAGCCGGAGCAGAGCATGGAGGAAGAGGGGGAGAAGGAGAGGCTGCGCACCGATCGCCGGTGGCCGCACAGAGACTGAGGAGGAAAATGCTACTTTTAAATATGTGTAAATATGTGGAGAAAGAACGCGGCTTTTTAACTTTCACTATTATTTTCTACAGACTTTTTAAGATTTATACATTTTTTTGACATACTTAAACTGTTCCAGCATCCAGATCTAGAAGACAATCATTTATTTATTTCCACCCTATGCCCCCATTAGGAATACTATTTCAGCTGGAAATATTCACAAGTCAGTTTGTCTAAAAATCCAAATATTTAAACGTAAAAGATCAAAACAACTCTGCCCTCTAATCGCTTTCAGCAATAAAACGTACAGCTTGTATGTGATTCTGTAACCAGTTCCACACGATGATGCTTCCATCCCAGCATCCTGCAGCAAGCAGGTAACCCTCAGGGTCAAAGGTCACACAGTTCAGAGGGCTGGTGCTGGGCAGAGAGGCTAGCTCTTTAGCTTTAGCGGCAGCCCACACCTGAGAAACAGAAAAGATTTGATTTGATTCAGAAAATAAAAAATATTATTGACAGACTATGACCCTAATTTGTGAATAAACAGAATATTTGCTACATTGGCACCTTTTGTTTTTATAAAACTGTTATTTTGGTTAAAAAAGACAACAAAAAACATGTTTATTCTGAATATATCCCATCCCACTTTGACTTAAGGCAGTCAAACTTTTCTTAATTTGGTTTAATAATCTCTGTTAGGGCAAATGCATGGAAAACTGACATTTACCATTTTAAATCTCTTTGAAAATAATGAATATAAACTCTGTTCTTAATCCATTGGGCTCAATATGACATTGGTTCACCCTTTGCACCTATAACAGCTTCAGGAAAGTCTATTTACAAGGTTTAGGAGCTTGTTTAGGGGACATTTTGAGGATTCTTCCAGAAACCCATTTGTGAGGTCACTGATGTTGGATGAGAAGATCTGGTCCCAGTCTCTGCTCTAATTCACCTCAAAGGTTTCTCTACACCAGACTGCCATCCATGTCTGTAGTGGCTGTGCTTTGTGCTCTGGTGCTCAGACATGCTGGAAGAAGAAGGGCCAGCTCCAAACTGTCCCCACAAAGTTGGCAGAATTACCAAAACCTCCCTATATATTGAAGAATTCAGAGCGTGACTAAGCTCCTGAAACACAAAGACCTGAAAACACTGGTTGCATATAACTTTTTAATCCACAGTGTGACTGCTTATAGAGCCTCTCTATAAGCAGTCACACTGACTGCTTATAGAGAGGCTCAGACTAGGCAGGGTGGGCAGATCTGCACAGATTTTTTTCACCTCTGTTTCTGTGCTACAAAAAAATTTAAAACAATTTCCCACATTTGACTTGGACAGATTATGAAACGTTATCATAAAAAAATAGAAAAAATAAAAAACAAAGGCACAGCTATAAAGCAAAGCCCCACTGAATGAGTCTTTGCAGTGTCTCAAACCAGAACAGATAAGGAATGTTCCTGTATTAAAAACATAATGAGATCTACGTCTAAAGTAAAGAAAAACCCAGCAATAAAAACTGTGGGATGATGTATATGCCGACTGAGGCAGAGAGGTGATTCTTAGAGAAAGATCCGGGAAGTTTATCGGAGTTTTCCTTCTTTTTTCATAAAGAGAGAGATATGCTGCACTTACCTGCTCTATCTGCCACTCTTTTGTTTTCTATGAGGCTCAAGGAGGATCACTATTTTACTATAGCCATTTTTTTCTCCTGAGGTTTTTTTTTTTTTTTTTCCTGGAGGACATTGATAAACTGTGCTTTCTGTCCCTCATTGTTTTTGTGAGGTTTAAAGTGGATCACTACTTTATCCATTTTCTGTCCTCCTGAACTCCTATCATGGGTAAAGAATACTTTACCATGACAGAGCCTCATGCGACACAATTTTCTGTCGGATTAGAGGCAAAAATCAGATTTGTGTGTCGGAGTATCAAGTTTCAGATCCTTATGTATCAAGTTTCGGATCCTCCACGAAACTTGATACTTTACATGATGGCTTCAGAAAAGCACTGTTGTCCTAGCAACCAACCATTGATCTAATTAACAGATGAGGAAGCGGGGTTTACTCCACTGCCAAACTGTCTGAAGGTCATTTGAAGGCTGAATGAAGTATGAAGGTCTGTAGCGATTGACTCTACAGAAAGTTGATGCTCTCTGCATTCATGCTGCCTGTTTATTATGACTGTGTGGTTGAGCTGAGCTGTCAGTCCCAACTATCTCCACTTTAACCGTGGAGGGTGAAACATTAATGAGTGAGGTCATTTTAAAACTAGACTTGTTGCACAGGTGACCTCCTGAGGGTGACTCATTATTTCACAGATGTTTGTAGAAATAGTGGCCATAGAAATGGTTTGAACACCTGATTTTAATTGATTCAATTTAATTCAGTTTATTTATATAGCGCCAATTCACAACACAGTTCTCAAGTTGCTGTCTTCATCTCAAGGCACTTTCCAGTTCTCTCTGGATCATACAGTGAAACTGATTCAAAGTTTTCTATGTAAGGAAAACCAGTTGATTGCGTCGACTCATTGACTCGAATGCAATGCCTCACACTAAGCATGCTTGTAGCGACAGTGGAGAGGAAAAACACCCTTTTAACAGGAAGAAACCTTTAGCAGAACCAGGCTCAGCGTGAGCGGCCATCTGCTGAGGCCGACTGGGGTTCAAGGAGAGAGAAGCAGAGATATAAAAAACAGCTGTAAAAGGCATTATTTGGATGGATGAGCAAATACTTTTGGCAAGATAGTGTTCGTATTTCTTTGACTCCACATTGAGTGAAACCAATGTTCTGAATATTTCTTATTTTCTTTTAAAATGTATTTTCTCCCTTTTACTTTTCTAACATGGTTCCCCACAATGTTTTTTGTAAAGAAAAAAAGTCATACTTTTCCAGACAATTTTTTACACGTCCTTGCCTGGAAAACACAGACTGGAGGGAAAGAAGGACATAGCGAAGGAAGGATGGATGGACGAAAGAGGAGAAAATAGGGAAGAAAGAAAAAACAGTAGGGAGGAGATAAGGTGGTTTACAAGGTTTAAACTGAGGATAAAATAAAGGAAGGCATGGAAGAGATAAGGGAGATAGGAAGGATGAATAAAAGGAAAAGGAAAAAGGAACAGAAGAACAAAAGACATGGGAGAAATGAAAGTCAAAATGGAGGAAAAGAATAATGAGCGACAAGAATTAAAGGACACAAGGTATAAAGACTGGAAAAAAACATGTGAGGAAGTAAAAAAGTGCACAAGCAAGAAAGTAAAGAAAACAAGGAAGTAGGACAGAAGAACAAACCGAGAAAAGGATGCATCAAATGGATAACAGCAAATATGTAAGTTGCTAAATATTAATATTTCACTAAAATCTTTTTAGAAATATATATAAAAAGCTTTTCCAGACTAAGAAAACACTTTAATCAAATTCCAGACTATTCCAGACAGCCTATGATTGTATATTAGTGAAAATGACTTGCTGTCTGTCAAGACAATAAAGGACCAACCTTAAGTGTGTGATCAAGGGACACAGTTGCGAGGTGTTTCCTGTCCGGGGTGATGTCACTCGCTGTTATAGTATTAGTGTGGCCTTCAATCAAAGCCGTCCTGCAGACAGAGGAAATTTAACAAAATGTACGTGTCACTTCACAACACATCACTAAAAAGCTAAATGACTGAGGTGAACTTGATGCTGCTTCTGTAACTGGCTCAGGTCTCCTCCCACCTGCATCCGTTCTGCATGTCCCACACTTCTATCCGTCCATCGAAGGAGGTGGAAGCGAGCTGCGCATCGCTTAGGAAGACACAGCTGGAGATGCCGTCACAGCTGCTCACCAGTGACTTTACTTCCTGTTCAACAAGAGGACATCCTTATACAATAGTTAAAGCGTATATGAAATTAGATCAAAAATCTTCTTTTTTATTTATTTTTTTAATACCTCCCAACCAAAAGTGTTTGCTCTCTTGTGCCAAAAGCTAGTTTTAGGATTGCAGCTGATAAAAACCTGGCAGCAATTGTCAATCCTTCTGGTGATATGTTTACGTAAAGCCGTCCTACGTGCTCGTCCCCATTTTCACTTAACGGTGGCGAGTCTCTTTGGAAAGTAAGCTTGTATGAGCGATGCAAACAGCAACTTTTAAACTGGTGGTTAAAGAGGAGAAATTGGCTCTTGCAACCTTTTAATAGGCGTTCCCTCTCGGGAGCGGGTACAGGGTTGTGCATGTGCAAATTTTTTTTTTTTTTAATTCATGAAAATCCTCCACTATACCTTTAAGTTTTGACCTCTGTACAAGAGGAGCAGCTGATCAGCCAGGTAAGATGGGGCAAGATCATGTAAACTTTGAAAAAGAAATAAAAGAATCTTAAAATGAACCCTGACTGATGTAGAGAGCATTACAGTAACCAAGTCGAGTTTGAATTAAGAACTCAATTGCTGTTTCAAAGTGTTTTAAAAGAATGGGCTTCATCTCTACAAGCTGTCTGAGGTGATAAAAACTGGAATTATTCACTGCCCCAACCTGGCAATGCGGTTTATGGGCACTGTCTATTTCAAAACCAAATTAGAAATAATCTGCTTCAAGCAAGACGTGAAAATGCCTCCCCTCCCCAGAAAAAAAAAGAGATGGTTCATGGGAAATGCTTGGGCAAAATACAATCACCTCTGTTTTCTTGCCATTGCAATAATTCAAGGGCTGAATAATTTTCTTTTCTTTTTTTAGGGGCGTGACTGTGATCTGCTTAACAATGAAAGGAGATACAGAGTTTTCTGAAAATTGAAGCCAGAGGAAGCAAATAAAGAAAAGAATAAAAACAGGCAGCCAAGGATTGAGCCCTGTGGAACTTCATGATGTAGAGGAATGGATGAGGATTCAAAATAGATATACGGTTCTGTCTGATGAATAAGACCTAAACCATTTCAATGCAAAGCTACAAAAATCAGGTTGAGTTTGTGAACTTGATAATAAAAATGATGTGGTCTACAGAAAGACGCTGTAATGTGATGAGTTTTAAAACCAGAATGAAAAACCTCCATGATCTATTGCTTATCTAAAGTGAGGGAGTGGCGGCCTAATGGTTAAGTCATAGAGCTGGGAATCCTGAGGTTCTGGGTTTTAGCCCCACTCCCACAGACTGCCACTCTGGGTCCTTGAGTAAGACCCTTAAACCCTGAATGCTCCCTGGGCACCCCACGATGACAGCCCACTGCTCCCCAAGGGGATTTAAAAAAAGTCTGGGAATGGATCATTTCCTAAAAAACTTAATAAGTAAACTAAATAGTAATAAAAGGCAGCTAGTAAATAGACCAGACGTTTGCTTAGATAGTTTGGTCAAGGCCAGGCATCCTTAATTTCTTAATAATATAACAATTATGAAAATTACTCATACTACTGATTGATTTAGATTAGGGCTGCAACAACGAATCGATAAAATCGATAAAAATCGATATTTAGAAGCGTTGGCAACGAATTTCATCATCGATTAGTTGTGTCGCGCGATTAATGGGTCATCCGCCGTCGTCATCACTGCCACTTGATTGAAACGCGGGAAGAAAAAAAATACGGCAGAGCGAGCCAGCGCCGCATGTGAGCAAAGGCTGTTTTCAAAAGGCAGTAACGTCAACTGTTCTAATGACCGATACCGCAAACGCAAGCCAATTCGCAAACAGCCTGCGCTTTGTAAAGCGAAAAAAGTCGTAACATGCAACTTTTGTAAAAACAAATTAACATGGTAGGGAAGCACCACTGTTATGATGCAGCACCTGAAAAGAAAACACGTTGGAGCCTTCGATGGCAGTGAAGAGAGCTGATCAGCAGGATGAGCGACCATGTTTGTTTCGTTTTAAAGTGGGGAAACGTAACGTTAGTTTCTCAGGTAGCTCATCTGATGCTTTCCTTACCGTGTTAGTAGGTTACAGACAGTGATAAGGTTGGCTACTTATTTTACTTTTAATTTCATTTGAATTAGCTTAAGCAGCGTTTATATTTTCTTTATAAATAAATTAACTTGCAAATTATGAGGGCAAGGCTTTTAAAGTTTAAATCTTCTGGCAAAGATAAAGTAAAGAAGATCCTGCAATTTATGGAAGTAAAGCAGAATAAAATCCAGCAAGATCAGTAATATGTCAATTAATTATATTTGCCACATTCCCATGTAAATATCTGTCTTTGGAGGATGTGTTTTTTAACACCCCTAGTTCTCTCATTTTTATTCCAAATACAATTTATAATTTGAATCACAGGGCTATTTTTATCTCTATGGTTAAGTATTTTCTCAAGTAGCAACTTTAACTGCTATACTTTCCTGTCTTAAAAGGCAGAACTCTTCTAGTCTAAAAAAAACTCATTTGTTGAAATGGGGGGACCTATTGTTTTACCCCCTTAGGGGCTTTTAAAAACAAATGTCTTTTTTTTGCACTTTATGAAACAAAGTAGCCTACATTTTGTGGATGTACAGCTACATTTCTCATGTAAGTTTGTGTAGTTTTAACACCAGTACAGTTAATGAGCAACCTGTACTTGTGTGCTTGTTTGTTCTGTCTAAAATGTTTATTTTGGAATAAAGAGGTTAATATAAAAATTTTTTTTTTATCCGATTCATCGATTAATCGAAAAAATAATCGGCTGATTCATCGATTTTTAAAATAGTCGTTAGTTGCAGCCCTAATTTAGATTCAAAACTATCTTAATTCAATCAAGAAGGTTGCTTCAGATTTGGAAAAGCATAAACATATGAATGAGAGACGCATTATTAAGAATGTTTTAACAGAAAGGTGCTATTTAAAAAAAAAAAGAAAAGAAAAAAACTTGCTTACAGTCTGCTTAAAACTTTGTGGGATTTACAGAAAAATGACGTGAATAAAAGGTAAGGCTCTGGAGCACAACCCTAGCAAGAGAGAACAGATGCTATCCGTATTTAATACAAGCAAAGAAACAATAGTTTAAGGAGAAAAAAAAGGTTACAATTTTAAGAGTAAAATCCTACCTGACCAGTCTGCGCGCTGACAGCGTGCAGCAATCCCCGTCCCGTAGCAACCACTATCAGCCGTTTGTCTGGACTCAGGACCACACAGGTGGGTTCAGAGGAGAAGGTTGACACCAGCTCACTGGGGTCAAACACAGAAGCAGGTTTTAAAATGCCACACAAACCAAATTATAGTAAGAACTAACAATAATGACAAAAAGCAATACTTTAATTAGAGATGTAGTGTTTAGAAGTGCAACACAACATATGAAACATGCATCCAAAACAAATGTTAACCGTGTTAACAATAATGTTTACCTCCCTTCTTCAGCATCGTCTTTGCTGCTGTTTAGGCACTCGATCACACAGACTCCTGCTTTTCCTACCAGGCCTTTAGCCCAGATGTGAGCTGATGTTTCTGGAGGTTCGTTGAGCGCCTGCTGGATAAATAGAGCCGGCCACAGGGAGAGCGTGGAGGTGTGGCGCTTCAGGAAACCACGACAGTCGTCCAGGCGTCCCTCTGGGTCGACTGACACGATGAACAATAGAATGAGGGAGAAAGTCTTTTCCAAACGTTTAGATCAGAATTCCCTGACCAGCAGGAACATCGCATCCCTTGAATAAATTATTTGTAGAGGTAATTTTCAAAGTACTTACGTAAAGCTGTAGTAGTGAACTCCTTATCTAAAGGGAGGGTAACATTTGACAGAAAAGATTAATTATCCTTCAATGATCAAAGAAAAACAAGCCTGTATTTGTATTCATTATTTATCAAACATCAGGGTTTCCTCTAGGATTTTTAAGCCATTGTGGTGTCTGGTGAGGTTACATGAAACTTGAACTATTTAAAACTAAATGTTTATTGAACGTATTCCCGCTTTATAGGACACTGTGAAATACTTTGAAAATCTAAATTTCCAGCCAATAGTGTTATTGGAACACAGGACAAAACCTTATTACCTTTGTAACATTAAAACAATATGGATATTTTGATGGCCAAAATGAATGTCAATATAATAACAAGAAATGCCAACTTGCCCGAATATATTAAGAAAATAACAAAAGTGCTTCTATAAGAAATTCATGAAAAAAACAATTAAAATAAACCCATTATTCTTTGGTCTATCATAACCTGATACTGGCACTTAACTTTTTAGTTGATAAACCTAAATATAATTAACCATGCTTATTAACTTTTTAATTTTTCAACTTTTTACCTTTTTTTTCTTGACTTGTTAACTTTTTTTCTTAATGTACAGTAGGTAATATATCATTCAAGGGCTCATCTAATTGGTCAAATGCCAAAATAAGATGTACAGCCATGTAGCAGGATCTTTGCTGAATGACTGGATCTAGATCTTGTGCTTCTAGACCTCACTGAAGGACGGGAAGCACTCGATTTGTAAGGGGTAGGCAAGTGATAAAAAACAGTAACTTGCCTTATAAAAGGCTATTCTAATGGCACAGTTTGCAGCCTCACTGAGAGCTTCTTAAAAACCTAGTTTCAATTCACTTCAATTCTGTTTATTTATATCACACCAATTCACAGCACGTCATCTCTGTCACTTTAAAGAGACAATACAGTCAAACTGGTTACAAGTTTCTGGTATGGAAAACCAGTTGATTGTGTTGAGTTATTATTGACTTGTGAGACATTCTCCTCCTGGATGAGCTTGCAGCGTCAATTTTCGCTTGCATTTGGTTGTTGACCCTTCTGCAATCCCTTACACAGAGCATGCCTGAAACTCCCTTTTAACATGAAGAACCCTCCAGCAGAACCAGGCTCAGTGTGAGCGGCTTCTGCTGAGGTCGACTGGGGTTCAAGGAGACAGAAACAGACACACACAAAAAAGGAAACTGCTAACCAGCTCCACAGCTAGCCCCATCCAGGAAACAAAGCCAGGCGGACAAGCTCTAAGCCAGCTCCCATGTCAGAGGATGAAAGAGAGCACATCCAGCCAGTTACATTCAGAGAAACAGGACTACACTGAAAAACAGACCAAACTCCAACATCTATAAACAAAGGTGTTGATGGCAGCAGCACAGCTGATATTTTAATCCAGGATGATGTCATAGCCAAACCGGAACAGACCAGATGAAGCTACTATGAGAAAAAGTAAAGAGAATATAAAGTTATGAGTGGAACATAAATACTGCAGAATGAGAGAGTAGAGATAGACTGCTGGAGAACATTGGAACAATTTTTATCATTCTGCTTTATTCTAAGCCTATAGCAGCATAACTCAGGAAAACTTAACTGTTTCGGATGAGGTAGAGAAAAAGCGAAATATCGAAGGAGAAATGTAGGAGTGAGGAATCTCAATATGGGCAGGACAGAAGGCGATTAAAAATCATATTCAACACAAACACCAAAACAAAAACACTAAAATGCACAAGAAAGTAGAAAACACAACCATTTCCAATTTTATCAAAGCCTCTTCATGCCGTTGGAGAGCGACAGTCATTTCCTTCTTGGAGTTTTTCAACAATCTGTTTATAGGGTTGATATTTATGAGCCAAGTCATGGGATGTCTCTACATGTTTACATTTACGAACGTGTGCAAGTAGGGTCTGCTGCCTGCTTGCCATGTTTACCATGCAGTTCCATCCATCTAGTACATAATTTTTCTAGGTGGAAGGCCAAAATAACCTAGCAGACTCATCAAGCATAAAGCTTAACGTGGAAGCAGAAGAAAGTCGGTCTCCTCTCTGCTCTTACTGCAGGTAGGGTTTGCTGCATGACGAGGCTGCTGAGACTGACCCTCTGTGAGTTCTTTACATTAAAATATTATTACCCAACATATTGAATTAAATAGTAAAATTGTAAAGTTATAATGTTAAAAACTTTATCCTGAAGGTTTGGGGACTTTTATATTGAATTGTTATACCCACTAATGATTACATGTAGAGGAAACCCTGAACACCTTAATGAATTCTCACCATAAAGGTCATATGTCTGTAGAAGGTGGTGAAGGAGGCCGAGGCTCACATTGGCACGCAGGAAATAATAATTGGAGAGCAGGGAGTGAAGAGCCCCCAGCTGTCCGCTTTGAATCTGTCCAAGCAAAGGCAACAAGGGAATAAAAATCTACACTCAGGTTCATCTCTTACCTTTAGTTTCTGCTGAACAGGAACCAATAAAATATCTTTGCAATAATTTTCAGCCTCAATAGGCTCAAGCATTGCATATTAATAAATGTTTTTGGTGTAATATTTAAAAAGTGCAAACCAGGCTTGAAGGCAGATGCATGACCGAGTTTGCCTCAGAGCGAAGGAAGGTATGTTTTCCCTCCGGGTCAGCCATCGCCCACAGATGACCTGGTTAATGAGAAACATCACAGTACATTAAGAGTCAGTGAGGTGCTTTAATGGAAGAGCAATGTGTTTGCATTACCTGCCAGTACGAGGTGAGCTCTGGCTATGTCATGTTCTGTTAGGAGGAGGAAGCTCTCAAAGCCTCTCCTCACCTCTGGGTTGTTCAGAGCCAAAACGTCGTTGGTGTATTGGCAATGAGACAGACCAATCAGACTGAAAGAAAAGATGCAAACTAATTAAAATCTTAACTGTCTTTCATAGGTTGTGAACTATCCTTTTTAATATTGTATGAACATTTCGTGAACTATGTTAAAAAAAAGGTAATTACACAAGGTCAAAATGTTAAAATAAAAACATTGTGACTCAAAGATACCAGTCTTTTCTTATATCTCTAATAGCGACCATTGTAGAGTATATTTCAGCTCCTATTCCACCATCATGAATGTGTTTCTGACAGTTTCAGCTGTTTTTCCATTAAACCTCTCACTGTTTATGTGGCCACCTTTAGGTCAGAATACATATTCCTGTAACATTTATCTATGAGGATTAGGGCTGAAACAATTAACTGGATCAATCCTGATTAATCGATTAATCATCAACTAAGTTAGTAATTGATTTACAATTTAACTGGTGTACAGAGACAGATACCAACATTGAAAAAAATAGAAACATTTTGTATTTAACATTAAAAAAAAGTCTTTGTCCATTAATATATTCTATTCAGAATGCCAGAGGTGGAAATATTTTAGTTTCACCTGTTTTAATTGTGTAAAAAATCTTCTATAAGGAACATTTTGCTCTTCAATTATTAATCAATTAATCAAACAAATAATCCTCAGATTAATCAATTAGCAAAAAAAATGTTAGTTGCAGCCCTAATAAAAAATAAAACTGATTAATCAAACAGAATCCTAATCTGTCTGATCTTTCTTAATGAGGAAAAAAAAATTTTGCACCCAAGTGAACGTGGAGGTCATCAGTTACTGACTAGGAAATGGGAAAATTGCCAGCTCCTCAAAATAAAATACATCATTGATTTTGTTAAAAATAACCGACTATAACATTGAAATTAAATGTTAGACACTTCTAATATTTCCAAACTGTACTTATTCCGCTCCTAATAAAGTATTTTTTGTTGGTTTTTTAACCATGAATGACTGACGATGACCCTGTACCTTTGTAAATTCCTCACAACCTGAGTGAAAACTGCCATGGGAATACGTCCTTTTGGCTTCCTGGAGAGATGCAGCACTTCCTCCCATGTGATCTGCTCGCCCCGTGAAGACAGGTCATTACAGGTTCTCAGCAGAGAGTACAGTTCAGGCTCTGTTAAACCTGCAGATAAAGAAGCAAACACAGATGGAACGGTCTGAATCCTCTCTCAAAGTCAGGAATGATTGGTTAAAAGTTTATAAAACATTACAGAACCGTAGTGACCTTAGATTTTGTTGTGGTTAAATAATGAATAAATAAACTATGGTAATGGTACAGAGTAAAAAATAAAATATGTGTCTGCCCATAAGGCTAGGAAACTAGGACTTTAGACAATTGTACAGTAAATGATCCATTGTCCTTCACAGGTGGAGTGAGATTCTGAGACTCATCCAGACAAAGACAGATGATGTCCTCTGGGTTGGTGGTCAATCTTTGCCTGAGGCAGTGGAATCCAATCATCTTGATCATTCACCAAGGGTTATATGTACAGTAATAGCAGGAAATGGGACAACAGACCAGAGTCTTGTTTGCAGTAATGTTGGTGCCGTTCTTTAGCAAATTACCTCGAATAAACTAAAAGTACAGTAGTAGCCATTCAAAATTTCCACACTGTCCTTGATAGGCCCTTGACTGGTCCCACAGGCTTAACTTTCTGAAGGATTGGTAAGGATAGTCTCCACCAAAAATTTCAATACATAGAATTTGGCTCTGAACAATATGTGGGACATTTTTCTAAATTTGATTTTGCCACTTTTGGAGGAGGATAATCACTGATGCAGCTGAAAGGGAAAACATCCATCAATCAATTCACATTTTTCTGGATGGATTGATGGAAGGATGAATGAAACTGAAATTGTGTCCATACTAGGAAGATATATTTCTGTTGGCATCACAATCAGATGTTATTCATCCTTTTTTTTTACACATTAATGTCTAACTACCCATAAATATAAATATCAGTGTATTTTTGTTCTTTTTTGTTCTAAACAATAGCAAAGCATTCAATAAATCTCTAACGTTCTGCTCTCTGTGCTTTTTCTCATATTACTGTAGCTTTGCCTCATCTGTTCCTGTTTGGCTGTGACTCCATCCTGGAGAGAAATATCAGTTGTGCTGCTGCCATCAACACCTTTGTTTATAGATGTTGGAGATCTGCCTATTTTCCAGTGTAGTCTTGTTTCTCTGACCGTGACTGGCTGGATGTGCTCTCTTTCATTCTCTGACATGAGAGCTGGCTCGGAGCTCGTCTGCCTGGCTGTGTGTTTCCTGGACGGGGCCGCCTTTTACAGCTGCTTCTTGTATCTCTGCTTCTGTCTCCTTGAACCCCAGTTGGCCTCGGCAGATGGCCGCTCACACTGAGCCTGGTTCTGCTGGAGGTTTCTTCCTGTTAAAAGGGAGTTTTTCCTCTCCACTATCGCTACAAGCATTCTTAGTGTGAGGGATTGCCTTCGATTCAATGAGTCGATGCAATCAACTGGTTTTCCTTAGATAGAAAACTTTGAATCAATTTGACTGGATGATGTGGTGAACTGTAAAGTGCCTTAAGATGACATATGTTGTGAAGTGGGGCTATATAAATAAACCGAATTGAAGTCCCCTAGAATTCCTTTTTTAAACATCAATATTTGTACTAAATTATTTTTTCTGACATGATTTGAGGACATTAAGATCTAAAGAGAAGCATCATATTCTGGTCAGACACTGTAATTCAGTGAAAGGATGGAGTCAGAATAAAAAAATATGCAAGAGTCACTACAGTGGCTGGAAGTTGGAGGGGATTTTGCTGGGAGTTGGGCTGCCATTCGGCTGGCGTTTGACTGGGAAGGGCCATTTTGAATGGTGGCTACTGTAAAGGCATCTGGAATATCCAACTGCCCCAGCATGACATTTACAACTGCAAATGAACAAGAAACCGTTAAATTCCTGCAGAACTTTACCAGTATTGCTGACAGTGAGGGCTGCAAGGGTCAGACGGAGCCCAGGTATGGTTCTGTACTGGATGCAGAGTCTCTCCAGGCTGTACTGGACCAGCAGGCTTAGAGACTGAGGTAAATCTTGCAGTGTTTCCATCAGCTGAAATACAACAACAGTTTGCTCCCATTATCCTTGGCAGCTGAGAAAGTTGAAAAAAAAAAGAATCTGCATGAAAGTTCATACCTTTTCAAAGGAGGCAAAGTTCCTCAGGTCTTCACAGGCCAGGTGCAGATAGAGAGGACTCACTGCTCCTTTCTTTGTTATTAAAGTCTGGAGCTGCATTTACAGCACAATAGTTTTATAGTCAAAACACAAGGTCCAGTAATATGGAAAAAGATAGAAAATGTATAAACAGAACCTGATTGTTAAAAGCAGAATCGCTGAGCTTCTTCCCAAAAACGTCCAGCTCTTTCTGAACAATCTCTCTCTTGTCTGGCATACTGAGCTGCCCCAAAGAAAACAGGACAGTCCCTCTTTTCCTGACTAAAGTCTGCAGCAGAGGCGTATTGGAGGAGATGCTCAGAACTAAACAGACACCCTGAAGAGAAACAATAGAATTAATATATAAACTTTAACAAAATCCTTTTTTTTAATCTTCTTGTTACCAACTTGAGGAAGCAGCTGTGGGATCCAGTCAGAAATAAACTGTCCTTTGTCATCTTGGACAAGATCCACTCCATCAACCAGCACAACCAGAGGTTTGTCCTTCTTCATTTCTCCAAGGGTTGAGTGAAATTCTGACAGCAAATCCCTAATATTACAAACAAAAGTTAAAACAGCGAGGGATCAAAGCTGTTTTGTATTTTGTATTTGTTGGAGCCTCTTACTTATAGAGGTGAGGAAGAGGTGATTCTTCCTGTGTGGGTTTAATCTCTCTCAGGCACTGTACGAGGCATCGAAGAAGATTTCCCACAGAGCGCGCCGACTGGCTGGCAGCAGTGGAGTAAGAGATGACGTCACAGCAGAGTTTTGTTTTAGACTTCAGTCCACTGCGGATGGCTTCTGCTAGAGCAGCCTGACAGAAGCAAATGCATACAAGAATATTAAGAAAAGCATACATCAAACTACATTTTCCTATAAAGCAATTAATTTTACCCCTTCTTGAACTGCATTCTAAACGTAGCACAAGATGTTTCAGTGCTCAGATTATTCCAGAGGTAAAGTTTTCGGGGCTAAAATCCCAAAACAAAAAGGCTTTGCGTGATGAGTCTAACAATCAGTGGTTCAAGAAGTCCTAATGATGACAATAAAAAAAAAAAAAAAAAAAAAAAAAAAGGAAATCGAGGGGGGAGCTTGATATCATCCGATACAGCGGAGCCAGGACCTTGGACACATTGGAGCAAGGCCTGGGGTCGGACTTCATCTGCAAGCACATGGTGGTCAGGTGCCTTTTCAGGGGACCCAGCTGGGGCAACCACAAAGGAGTGATGGGTGGCCATCCTCAAATGGGCCTACCACTTGCAGGGGAAACCACGAGGTACCGGGCGAAGAGGATCGGGCACCAGTCAGAGGAGACCTGATCCACAATCAATTTGACAAACTCTGGGAAAATGGAACGTCAAATGAGTGTGTTCATTTTCCCACAGCTATCCTGTCTAGTGTTGGAGTGTACCTCTATTGGACAAGAGGTTCACATTCCATCACCTTCAGGTAGGGGGGGAGGTCTCTATCTATTGTCTCGGCCTGTTGACCAAACGGTAGTATAGAGTACCAGGCATTCTTAGCATTGTAAGGTTGGGCTGTTGGATCACCCCCCTAATGGATATTCCATAATTCTGCCGGGGTACTCCAATGCCACTGTGGGAAACAAGAGACAGGGTGATTGGGGCCGGAATTGTACATCACCCAGGCTGAAGTCTTCAAGGTGGTCAAAAACCTCCATGGAGGCAAGATTAGATAGACGAGATCTGCTCTGAGTACCTTATGTCTCCGGATGCTGTCCAGCTGCCATGGCAGAGATGCCTCTTCAATATCATGTGCTGTTCAGGGACAATGCAGCTGCACATGCACCTGGAGAAGGCATTGACCGTGTCCCTTGTGGTGCCTTGTGAGGGGGGTGCCCCAGCAGTAATGAGTCGAGACCCTTTACGGGGGCCGCCCGGTCACTGTACATGTAGAGCATGAGTTTGGTTCACAACGCCACCATTAAGTCAGAACTGTTCCCAGTGCATGCTGGACTCCGAATAAGGCTGCCCTCTATCACGGTTCTATTCATAACCCATATGCACAGGATGTATTTACTGCAGCCAAGGACCCATAGCATGTCTGGTCTGGAGACCAGCAAATTTCGTTCCTGCTTTTTGCAGATGACAAGGTTCTGCTGGATCCCTCTCGACCAAGACCTACACCATGCACTGGGACAATTAGCAGCAAAGTGTGAAGAGTCCAGGAAGAGAATCAGCTCCTCTACATACTAGGCCATGGTTCTTGAGAGTCCCTGCCTCAAGCTGAGGTGTTCAAGTACCTGAGGATCTTGTTCACGACCAATAAAATGAGATCCTTGATAGACGTTGCTGAAATTAGCTTTCTCAACAGAGCAGATGGGCTCTCCCTTAGAGATAAGGTGAGAAGCTTGATCATTCAGGTGAGACTTGGACTAGAGCTGCTTCTCCTCCATAGTGAGTAGAGTCAGCTGAAGTGTCTCAGACATATTTTCTCGCAGCTCTGTCTCCTGGACAGAGCTAGAGGAGGTGTCTGGGAAGAGGGATGTATGGGAGTCTCCACTGAGACCGTTGCCCCGTGACTCGGTAAAGATGACAAGTACAAGTGTGAGTCATTTTATTGAGAAAAAATCTTTGCTTTCTCCTGCTGATACAGGTGAGGCCATTTGCTACCTGTTGCCCCAGGAATGATCTCCATTCTAAGGGATGATAAGGCATTATAATTACTTTGGATATTTCCTGAGAAGAAGATTATGTTTAATGGGGAGTGTTGGCCTAGTGGGTCCGAGCAGCACAATTGTGATCTGAGAAGGTTGCAAATACCCTGTTCGATCCACACAGCCTTCACTCTGTGTTCCTGAGCAAAACACTTAACCCCACTTCTCCCTGGGTGTCACACAAGGGGATTGGTTAAATGCAGAGATGAGGGAGTGGCTGTGTTAGGGCATAGGGCTTGGAATTCTGAGGTTCTGAGGTCAAGCCCCACTCCAACAGACTGCTACTCTGGGTCCCTGAGCAAAAGACCCTTAACCCCCAACACTGCTCCCCGGGCACCGCACATGGCAGCCCACTGCTCCCCAAGGGGATGGGTATCCTGATATACAGAGTAAGAGCAGCTCAAGCATCCTCTGAATGACAGCACTCCTACCCCAACTATTAACACTTAGCCCAGCCTTCCTATACAGTAAGCTCATTTCTGCCACTTGTACAGTATCTAGCATTTTGAATCTTTGATCGTGATTTGTGATTGTGATATCATATAAGCATGCACACTAGTAAATCAAGACCCTTATTTTTTGTCTCATATTTTTCTCCATAACAGACTGGAGCAGCATCTGCACTGCTGTAGATGAGGCCACAATCGTCCACTGGATATGGACCAGTCTTTTTCAGGCTGAGACCATGACCTGGATTCCAGAGGAATCTTCACTTGTTCCGGTCATGGCATGCTGATATAAAAACCACATAATCCACAGAGAAAACAACAACAGCAAAGGTTGGCTCGACAACACTGTCCATTATCAAACCACAAACAGGACTGTTGGCAAATTGCAGACCAGGTGGAGTTTACAGTAATTCAAATTTGATGCCTCTCATCTTTTTGTATAATGAGGGTAAAAACAGCGTGGAATTTAGTTCCAATCAATCCAAATTTATCATGCCCCAAGAAATAATTACAAAACATTTTCTTTGATATCTTATCGCTTTACCATGCCTTTCTAAGCTGATTTTATGTTGCCACCATCTTTTTAATGCCATATATATTCAGCAGTAGCTGAAGACTTAAATTTACCATGAAGACAGTTTTCCCCTCCCCAGGTCCTCCTTCGATCACCAGCATTCCTCCCTTGTTCTGGACCTGCTCCACCTTCCCCACAGCATTCGACAGTAGCTTTGCCCTTCCAAAGAACTGCTTCTGCAGCGCCCCCTGGAGGACCTCCTGCTCAGAAACCTCCAAGGCCGTCTCTGCCTCTTCATCCTCCTGCAAGGTGCAATAAAATAATAATAATAATAAAAAAAATGAAAAACATTAAATACACAAGGGGATTTTGAATTTTCTGTAAATTTAGCAATTAAAATAGCAAATGGTAAGTTAAATACATTTCATAGTGCTATTCTAGGTGCACTAACCAGTTAATGTGATTTCACACCAAAAGGAAAGTCACAATTATGCCGACCAAAAATAATGTACATAGGGGACCTTAATCAATAGGAGACTGGAACAGAACCCACAACCCCTCATTTGTAAGATGACTAAGAGTCGCCCCACTGATTTTTTTTATGGTCATTTACTTACATTCACAAACAGCTTTGTCACAGCCACCCAAAGGTCTTCGAGCACAGCGTTCCCAAAGTCCTCCAGCTTTTTCAGGTATGGTTTCCCCTCCACTACGCCTCCCCACATGCATGAGTAACTGAAAGAGTGAAGAGGGGGAGTTCCGGACTTTAAATTTACTGCACTAATTCAGCTATTCACCCAACAAACAAGGATTTAGACAACTTTTACTGTCATTTTGTATACACAGAGTGCTTACAAAAAAAATTTCCTTTGGTACAGCTTTCATGAGATTTGCATTCCATAAAGTGCAGCAGTGATCCAATGTAAACAGTGTGGGAGAAAAAACATGGTGCAAAAAACACACTGATATGGAAGTTCAGAGCATTACATTTTTTGTGAAACTTTTGCGTTTCATCATAAAACTGATGCAACGAGGTGCGTAAGCAGAGAAGAGAGAACATTAATCCCCTCTTCTGCAGACATGTGAGGACTCACTTTTCAGTGACTTTGACTCCATCATCCAAAAGTCGTCTCTTCAAAGAAGTCAGTTTCTTCTCGGCCTCATTTGATTCAGAGGCGAAATGTGAACTCCAAGCCACAGGGACTGATCTGAACAAAAAACAGGAAGGTAGAGCTGTTAAACAGGGAAACGACTTCAGCTCAAAGTTTTAGGTTTTCTGCTTACCTGATAACCATTGGATCTCTAAAGTAGCAGAACATCCGCTGATTTGCCGAGTCGGGATAAAGAGCCTGGAACTGGCGGATCTCCATCTCTGTGATGGAGAGACCAGCTGGAGCAGAGGCCAGCTGCATTTTCATATCATTATATGACATGGCTGTACATCTAATTTTGGCATTTGACCAAATACATGAGCCCTTGAATGATATATTTCCTACTTCAATTAAATTGAAATTAAAAAGTTAAGTCAAGAAGAAAAGGGTAAACAGCTAACTGAAGAGTTAAAAAGTAAAGTTAATGCTCCTAGTTAACAATTATATTTAGGTTTATAAACTAAAAAATGTCAGTGCCAGTATCAGCATTAATGCCTCTAAGGTTGTGTTGGACCAAAAAAACCTGTCTGTCACTCTCAGAGTGTTTTTATGAATTTCTTATAGAAGCACTTTTGTTATTGTTCTTAATATATTCTGACAAGTTGGCGTTTCTTGTTATTACATTGACATTAATTTTTGCAATCAACATATTTTTTTAATGTTACAATGGTAATCAGGTCTTGTCCTGTATTCCGATAACACTATTGGCTAAAAATTTGGATTTTCAAAGTATTTACTAAGTGCCCTATAAAGTCTTACCCAGCTGTACTGGGGCAGGTCTGGTAGGACAGGGCGGGGGGGCACCTGGCCGTACCTCTCCCCCAGGATCCCAACCAGCATCTGGCTGCGGCAAACCTCAGACAGACACAGCTCCGTGGCCCTCTCCGACTCCTCCTCGGTCACGCCCCAGCGGAGCTCCACCTCCTGTAGGTGGAGGCAGTGGGCTGCGGCGCGGCGGCGGAGCTCAGGGAAGACGCTGCGCACCAAGACATCCCGTTCAGCGTGCATGTCTCTGAACGTGGAGGAGATGAACACTCGAACACCTCTCCATCTAAGAACAGCAGGAACGTTTGAATATTAGGTGAAAATTGTGAAGTTAAAACTTTCAGCACTAAATCATTCCAGCCAAGATTATTTTACCTCAGCTTTGGGATGGCTGGCAATGACATGGCGTTGTTGGAGATCTGCTTGTCTTTGGCTCCATCTGGTGGTGGGATGTTGTACAATTTGTCCAAATTCTCGACATGATCCAATAGCCGAGAAGATCCTCGCTCTGCTATAAATCTGATCAATTCAAACAGATGGATCCCGTTGGTTAAAGGTCAGCAAAAGGATTTTAAATTCAGGTTAAGTAATAACATTTAGCAAATGTATGGTGTGGTAAATTAAAGAAGATACTAAACTGATTTTTAGAGGAATTTTACCAGGAACCAAAGATCTTTACTCAAAAAAGAACAGAAATCCTGCTTTGGCTTTAGAAACTGGAAGATTTAACCAAATCCCAGAAGAAGAGAATGGAGAAGATTTTGTTTTCTGTAGCCCAACGTATGATGGTTTTTAACTTGTATTTATGGATGATATGCTTAGACAAATGCCTGATTTGTTTTGGATTACTATGACAAAGTAAAATTATTGCTTAATTATAATGTTAATAAGTTGGCATATTTATTTGTAAAGCCTGGAAGAAACAGAAGAATTGTTTATTTGGATAAATAGTAGCTCTAATGTCTTTAAAGACCTGTTTCTAAACAGTGGTAGGTTATAAGCCCTTTGTAGGGCCGGGCTTCTATCATATGCATGGCATTATCATTGAACTGATTCTGATGCTGTCAGAAAAAAAAAAAATCATTTTCTGCTATACCCTAACAAGTAAAAAAATAAAAGTTCTGAAAGTTAATTAAGCTGTGAGCTTCAATCAAACAGACTAAAATGTAGGAATGTTTCATAAAATATGGTTGGAGGAGTTAAACAAATGAGCAGAAAAGCTCAATATGCTAAATGTTAAGCACAGTGAAGGTTCTCTAAGGTAAGAAACACTAGAATGAATGTTAAACTTTAAAGGATAGAAGACTTAGATAGAAAACTTTCAATGAATTTGACTGTACGATCTGGTTGAATTGTCTCTATAAAGTGCCTTGAGATGACATGTGTTGTGAATTGATGCCATACAAATAAAGTGAATTGAACTGAAAAGCAGCGTTCTGATTCAGAATCATATAACCTCTGCAGAAAAACCGAAAATGTTCAAATCAAGTTTTCTCACCTTCTTCCAAACATTATTTCGTTAATTTATTAAATACAGAATGCCATTGGGTTGGGTTCAACATGTTTTTACGTGTGGTGTGGAAAGTTTGCTTTCAGATCTCCTATTTGATCCATCTTACCTCAGGATTTGCTCACTGAAGCCTCTCAGCTCCACAGCATTCCTGTCTCGAGGCTTCTCCGATTCTCCAGATGACCTGAACAGAAAAGTTCAGGTTTAATTAAACCTAGAAAGCCTTATGACTATGAACCAATGCAGAGTGTTTTCTTTTTTTTTACCTATCCACTAATAAGAAATCAAAATAAAGGGTTTTTTTGTTTTCCTTTCTGTAGTTCTTGATAGCACATTCCAAGTCCTTTTCCAGCCAAGACTGTCTGAACGTGATGATGTTATCCACCTGAGGAGAATAAACATTTAGCTCAGACGGTCTTCAGATTGATCATATCTGTGATAATGGAGTCACAACACAACAATTGGACCTAAAGTTTCAATCTAAATTATCCCACCTTGCAGCTGAAATGTTTGAACTGGATCTCTAGAAAATTACTTGCTGCACAGCAGGAGCTGTAATGCCCACTTCAAACCACAATGTTATATTTTTCTATCTGTATATATAATGTTTAACAATCATTTTGCAAGCAAGTTGTTGGGGAGTGTTGGGATAAATATCATTGATGATGAGTGAGTTTATTACACCTTAATATTAGCTGCCCTTTGCATTTCAGAACTGATGTTTTCCACAATCGTTTATCTAATTAAGTAAATTCCTCTTTCTGAATATACAGTTATAATCTTTATTCTGTACGTGACAAATATTTGGGAATGGAATGAGAGCGGTGTCCTTCAGCTATGAACAAAGTGTAATATTTTGATAAGGCTGGAGCCATGGATGTCTCCTCATCTGCTAACATCTTGGATGTAAAATGTGCTGATGTGGCAGACTGGAGATGTATAAAATGCTTCTTTAACTGTTACTCGGAGCCACTTCCTGAGAGGTGAGCCCAGAGATGAGCAGCTGCCTTCTGTAACTCTAAGCAACTTTTCTGATCCGAGTAAGGTTACAATTTCTATCAAAATCTGTTGTCCTGTCTCATGGTTATTTAAAACAAGTACATTGTTAAGTGTTACTTAAAGACTTTGTCCCGAGTGATCCATTTTCAGCAAAAAGAATTGGAGAGAGAAAGCTTCGAGGTGTAAACACAGAGAGCCTGTCTTTAACGGGAGTAACAGAAAGGGTTTGTTATAATTTAGACCAAGCATTTTAGCAAAAACACTGAAGAAATAAGCTTGTAAGGAGAAATCAGATTATTTTAAAACTATAAAAATCCAACCGAAAGGGTTTATAAGGGCCTCTTAAAACTGTTAAAAACCTTGAAAAAGTTTTCAAGTTTTTAACTGTGACTGTCTGGATGAATTGTAAAGTGCCTTGAGATGACATGTGTTGTGAAATGGCGCTATATAAACTGGATTAAATTGAATTGAATCGCAGCTTCATATTAAGACTTTTGATTTTCTTTTTTCCTTCCAATTTTGAGCTGAAATAAACTGTTTTTATGGAAACTGTGCTGATTTACCTGCTTGTTTGTCTTTTCTTTAAAATAGCACAGAACCTTTATGTGCCCACAATAATCACGAGCATTTCCAAATATGTATTTTTATTCAAGAGTGAAGAAAGGCTCAGTTGTGCTTGATGCACTTATGCACGTTCTGCACCAAAATGAGGCGTCTGCAGCTGTTATACTTTAGGGAACTTTTCTGCTCGTATTTTATTCTCTGGCCAACTCCTGGTGTGTACAGCTTACAACACCACACGGCATGTAGAGGTAGAAACCACAGCTGTTTTCAACATTTTTAAAACCTAATTTTAGAGTGATGGTAACCACAAAAAATAAAAATAATAATAATTCCATGCCTGAACGGAGTGGGAGGACTGCGGTTTCGGTTACCAAGGATTTCAAATTCAGCCACGGATCTCATTCCAAAGTATGGACTTCTGTTCCCAATCAAAATAACTTATTTTTTTGTAAGTATCAATATTCTTTTAGGCACCTTGTATTAACTTGTGTATGAAAGGTACTAGGGATGCACGATATAATTGGCCCCCTATCGGTATCGGCCTGTATCGGCCTTAAAACTGAATATCGGACATCGGACACCCCACCAATATTTAACCCGATATTTGATCAGCTTCTGAGTTTCTAAAGTCTAAAAAAAAATAAAAAATACTACTTCTTCTTCTTCCTCAAAAACTTCTTTTTTACAGACTTAAAAACTTCTAAAGACGAGGGAAAAAATATTGATACATTAAAAATATCCCAATATCTTCATATACTGATATATTGCCATTTAAAAACACCATATCAATCTCTTTTACTAATGAAATATTGCTATTACTTTACTAACAAAATCTCACAAGAATTTGCAAAATATCACGAGAGTTTGTAACAGAACGATGAAATTTCACGAGATTTTGAAAGTAAAATAGATCGATACCGCGTTTTTAAAAATCAATTTGATATCAGCATATGAAAATATATTATATATATATATATATATATATATATATATATATATATATATATATATATTATAGTATATTATTTTTCAAAGTGTCAGAAATGGATAACAAAACTGCTATTTTCAATGACTACTTATTTTTGTCCAGCTTTAATATCGGTATCGATATCGGTTATCGGCTACATGAGTTTTAAAATAGCGGCATATCGGATATCGGCCAAAATCCCAATATCGTGCATCCCTAACAGGTACCATAGAAATAAACTAGCCTTGCCTTTAAGAAACACACAGCATTAACTCATAGTGTAAGTAGGAAAAACTTACCTTGTTTTTCTTTGAAAACAGCCTGTAGTAGAAACTGGTATCTTGTTCTTCATTATTGTTGCCGAAGTCCTGCAAAAGATTTCATATTACATTTTCACACCCTAAAGTGCCTCCAAACTATCAGTGAGGATGACGGAGTGTTTTTCTGCTAAACCAAAACAACCGAGATCCCACTTAAGTGATGTTTGCAGGTTTTCCTGCAACTTTAATTCAGGGCGTTGGAGGAAAGGGAGTGTTGGCCCAGTGGGTTAGAGCAGTGAGCTGGTGCTCTGAGAAGGTTGGTAGTACCCACAGCCGGTACTCTGGGTCTCTGAGCAAGACCCCACAGTGGCAGCCCACTGCTCCCCAATGGGATGGGTTAAATGCAGAGGGTTAATTTCTCCTATTAAGTTCAATTTCTATTTTTTCTATTTTCTATCTCATTAAGCAAGCATTTATTTACAGGAGCTCATAACCCAATTGGTAGAGAAAATAAAGCCAAGAGAGTCTCAGCTCTTACTTTAAACTCATGTCCAAAATGTTTTTTTTTTTCTTTTTTTACATTTGTAGTGCACGAAAACTATATTTAATGGAAATCAATCTGATTCAGTTTACCAATAATTACTCAGTTAAAGGATAAAATGTTGAACAGTGAAGTAATCTATCCCAACTTTACCGAAAAATCTGGAGGTTTAGGTATTTTTTTTCCAGGTTGGTTTAGGATTCTCACTAAATAAATGACTTGATAGGGAGCAGACATGGGCAATGTGGAGTCAACAAGTCATCTCCAAGTCATGTATTTGTTCTACTCAGCCACTGAAGCAGGTGAGTCCAATCTACACCGTGAATTAACCTGTGCAGATTGGACTCACCTGGTTAATTGGCTGAGTAGATTAACTACATGACATGGAGATGACTTGTTGACTCCACATTGCCCATGTCTGATACGGAGGTGGACTAATGAGAGATACATTTCATACAAATTTATTAAATTAAGGCCGATATTCTTTGTGGTTCTTATACAGGTTTTTTTTTTTAATGCTTTACCTTTAAATAAGGGTCTTCTATATTCATTCCTATTAGGTGTTAAATGTCCTTGTTCCCATCTTTTGCTTTTTTGTCCTTTTTTATCTTTACTTCTCTCTAGTCAGTTAGTTACCGTCTTAACAATTTGAAATCTGGACCATGAAAAACTTTTCAGAAAAATGTAATTTTTTCTGTTAGAATTGTCATTTAGGAAGCAGTATTAGGGCAGGGCTAGAGATTTTTTTTTCTTCCATTTCGAGAATAAAGTCGTAACATTATGAGATTTAAATTGTAATTTTTTAATTTTTTTAAGTATGAAAAGTAGGACGTGTCCAGGAAAAAAAAGACGTCTGGTCACCCTACCATATCAACAGTTTGATATTTCAGTGAGTGAGTGCTTGTTGCTATGATGCGTCTTTGCTCAGCAGCTTCGCTCGTTGTAAACCAACCAATCAGAGCACAGCTCATCTAAATATTTATGAGCATACCATAAACGGAAGAAAACTTGTCGTTTCATTCTGGGGCTTATAACCAGGCTTGCATTAGGACTCATAGAACAGCAAATATGCCATTTTCAGCCCAACCCATGTTACACACCCATTCAGAGACCTTAAGGACCAGCATCAGATACCCTATAGAATCATTCTATCATCCCTTTAATATAAATCCTTACCTTCAATTCTTTGACCAGGCCTCTGACGTTTTCCAAAAGAACGTCTGAACTCAGCTCAACTTCCTTACTGCAGCTGTAATTACTTAAGCAGAGCCGGCAATCTTCAGACCTGCTCTTGATCATCAAGGCGAGTAAAGCCAAAACCTCATCCATCTACAATAGTTCATGAACAAAGACACAACATTTCTTAATGATAGCTTTCCCCCGCCCTACATGTACCTCCATAATGTTAAAACCAAACCAACAGCACTCACAGTCGGAGTGAGGGGGTTGTGCGCTTCCTCTGTGCCCTTTTCTTCCTGGTCCTCCTCGTCTTCCTGTTCATCGGGGTCATGAGGGAGGCAAAAGTCCTGCTTCTTGCTCCAGGACTCGTCACTGCAAGTGTCAGCCATGACTAAAATGATGGTTTTGCCAGGCAGCAGGGGCACATTGTAGGAGCAGGAGATCTGAACGGCCGTCTCCAGGGCTTTACGGTAGCGGTCCAACAGGTCGACGCTGTAAAGCCTCTGACTTAAAGCACAGATCAAAAGGTCAGTTTATTTTAACTAGACCTGCTTTAATGAGACTATAATATGCAAGTGTAAGATTTTTTCAATTCTGCATAAAAAGCATAGCTTCATATAAGATCAGATTTAGGAAAACAATCAAATAACTTCTGCAGAGTTCTTTGTTTTTACCTGGCCTGTAGAAGCTGGGCCTTCTTGTTTTTATACAGCCGGTAGATAAACGGCACACCAAGTGTCAGTTTCAGTCCCCTCTTCTTACACGTCTGCCAGTCATGGCTCTTGCTGCGCCTGCTTTTGGGAATCTTCTTCAGGATGCTCACCAGGATTTCTTTGGTTGATGGGATCGCTTTCTGAGACGCAGAGGCTAAAAAACAAGGAGATAACAAAATAAAAAAATCCTCATCCAGCACCAGAAACTCAGAGACTGATACTTTTTATAGCTACAGTATCTTTTCCACCTTTAATGATGCATATTTTCTGTGCAACTGAGCTGAAAAATGAACATTTATAAGAGGGATAAAAAATAAAACCTATCAATAAGCTGGTGCATGCATTTAAACTACTTTAAATATATCCTAAATATTAAGTCTTCTTTAGTGGACGTTTATCGTCACTGTCTCCCTTATTAACTAAAAATGAATACAATTTGTGTCCTTTTAGGTGACGCTGTCAATGGTCTGTTATATTGAGACATTTAGAGCCAGCATCCTGCATATTTAGACCTCCTCTTGCCCCTACATACCTTTTAAAAAATTTAAAGCTACGGTGCCTTTTCATGGACTGCTCAATGGAAAGGTGCAAGGCAGCAGAGCTACCCACGGTTCACGGTTTGACTCTGGGTCTTTCTACATGGAGTTTGCATGTTCTCCCTGTGCACGCGTGGGTTCTCTCTGGGTACTCCGGCTTTCACAGTCCAAAAACATGACTGTTAGGTTAATTGGCTCCTAAATTCTCCTTTGCTGTGAGTGTGTGTGTGAATGGTTATTTGTTCTGTTTGTCTCTGTGTTGCTTGTGATGGACTGGCGACCTGTCCAAGGTGTAACCCGCCTCTCGCCCATAGACAGCTGGAGATGGGCACCAGAACCCCTCGCAGCTGCGCTTGTGATAAGCGTGACGGAAAATGGATGGATGGATGGATGGATGGATGGATGGGTGCCTTTTAATACAACTTTATCTTATTAAGTTCGCATTCCTGAGGCCCAGTCTGGGGTAAGTCTTTTGAAACTTCTTCAGGACTGTCGGAGGGGTGGGGTCAAATGTGAAACGACTTTACCTCATAAGAATAAAGGAAACATAAGTTTGTTAATTCGTGCTCAGTCTTGACTTTTAAAGGATCCTGCCCTTTCAACGTAGCATTCATTAAGCAGTGTTGAACCAAACACGAGTTTGGTAGATTAACGAGAACTTCTGCAGCATTTGACCCAAATATTAGCTTGATTTAAACATATGTCAAATGATTTTCCAGATCGATATATACAGCACTTGGCATGTATCGATCCTATGTGCTGGCTGCCCTTATGAAAAACTGGCTAACAGGAGTTAGTCATCCCTGGTCCAGCATGTATATCTAAAACCCTCTCTGTTGTTTTGAGAAAAGCCTTTGTTCTACTGACTAGGATGATGGGGTTTGAATTAAGATGCTAAAATACTTCAATGAAACTGTCAGCATTTTAGGTCAAAAGTGTAAAGAATTTTTATCCATTTGAAAGAGGTGGGTGATACTGGGAATTCTTAATCGATAAGATACCAAGTAAATTTAGGGTCAGTATCGGCGATATCGATCATTCGATCATATAAGTTTTATGTATTTATTTATTTATTGAGGCAATGAGTGAAGTTTCGTCTCCTCTCTCTGTTTCTGTAGCTCGACCTTTTCTTGCTTGTGTTGGCTTTTCATGTGCTTATATAAACTTGTTGTGTTTCCACTGCATTTAATCGGCTTTCACAAACCATACAGCTTGCCATTGTTACATTTACATTATTAAAATATAGTCGAACGCCGCTTCTTTCCCTCTTCATGTTTTTATGCTCCTCTGCGGAGCAGCAGTGCAGTTGAGAGGAGAGAGAGCTGAATGGGCGGGGCCATGCTGAGCCTGCGGGCTGAGCCGGTGACGAGAGGGGAGGGGGGAGCAGCAAAGCTACATATTGTTCAATAGCAAAGTTGGTATCGATCTGCCCACCTCTACCATTTGAAGAAGAAGAAAAATACACATATAAAATTAATGTGTGTTTATGAAACATTTGTGCGAGGGGATGCTCCACTCCTGTGTCATGATCCAGTCAGGAGACCATCCTGCCTTGTCATTCTGATGGAGCATTCTGTCTTCATGAACTGATCAATTGTTCTGTCAGAACAATACTCTGTTTGTAACCATGCGTCATGTTCTGTTAATAAACGCTCTGCAGAGGAGGTCCAGTGGGAGACAGTGTGTTTGAGTCTGGGATTCAACTGTCTCTCCTCTCTGCAGAAATTGTATCCATAATGTGTATTTCAGTTCTTCTTTTGCAAAAACCTACATTTTATGAGCCAGACAGTTTCCAAGTTTGTAGACTTTTCGCTTCCCATCCAGGAAGCTTTTTTAATTCAAAATGTAACACAGATCTCTATAGTCACTAGTTTATTAGCTCTGTGCTGCCATAGCGCAAGAGATGTCTGCCTCCACAAATGCAAAACCCACTCCTATGTGATTATAAAAAGCTATTTCTAAGGCAAAGATTGAGACTATTAAAATAATCACTTTGTGTGCAGTGTCTGATTTTCACCACAGTGTCGCTGTGAGACAGACGTTTCTGTTTCCTTCACTCTACCTCTCGTTAGGTATATTGAGCACATGCTCTGCTGTGAAGCCTGAGAATAAATAGGCCAAGAAGGCTAAAAGAAGAGGCTGCCTCCGAGCAGCTCTGTTGAGCTGCAAAGCTCAGAGATTTTCAGTTCAAAGGTGACAGTAAATAGCAAACATATAGATTATATATAAAATTTCTGTCAGTAAATCCCTGTAATTATTACCCGCTGTACCTTTAAGACTTTGATATTGTGGATGCCTCTTACCTAAAGCGCGAAGCTCCATGATAACTTTGTAAGCTGCGAGGAATCTGAAAGGAAACTGTCGGCTCTGAATGATTGCATTCTGGAAGGACGTTAAAAGAACAGACGTTAGAGAACATAGCAGAGACTAAAGAACAGTTTTGATTTGCAGGAGGAACATGACATTAGAACATGTTGAACCTGATTGGTCAGCCTGCTGAGGATCTTTTTGTGATGAGCCTCACTGATTCCCTTAGTGATCATGTTCCTTAGGTTCCTCAACATGGCCATGAAGGGAAGAGATCTGCTGTCTTAATAGAAACAAAGTTATCCTTCACCACACAGAAAAATATTAAAGGTAAAACATAACTTTCCCCCCATCTGGCCTGTAGTCCTGCGCAGGTTGCTACCCCTCGTCGTTGATTTCTGACCTATGAGCTTCTGCCAGGTGGCGGCCTTGTTGCCCTCCATACTGAGCAGTCGTTCCCACGTCTGAGGCTCTTTGAGCTTCATCCGCTGTCCGGCTCTGTCTGGGTCCCACACACCCTTTATCCCGCTGTGGATGAACGCCTTCGCATCATTGGGATACCTGCACAAAGTCCAACACCCTGGCTTTAAGAAGGTTAGCTACAAATTAAATCACCATTTCAGCAACTTGATGTTTAAAAGGGGACAAAATAAAATAAAATCCTTACTTAAGACATTTGCTTGTATTCATAAAAAGATTAGTTTTGAGTTTGGGCTTGTTTAAGCTGGGCGTACAATGTGCAATTTTTTTCAGTCGTTGCACGCAGCAACTGCTCACACTGTATGACTAAACCGCAGGGTTTAAGTGGGATATGAATTATACTTATTTCATTTTTTTTAACTAATAATAATAACCAATAATCTTTCACATAACTTAAAATCCCTTCGTAACATTTTTTCATTCATATCCCACTTAAAGTATAAAAAATCCAACCATAGCTAAATTTCACTAGCTGAGCTGTGTTAAATCCTTGCACCCTCTGGGTTTAAAAAACATCTTGATGTATGTGTCTTACTTTTTTCCAAGAATGGCCATAACAAGCTCAGCAGGTTCCTTAATGTGAAGCTTCTTGATCAGCTTCTTCAGGCTGAACTCGGCCTGTTTTTTATCCACCACCACTCTGCCATCCTCCACCTGGAGCTGAGCACAGATAAACAGCTGTTAGGGCCTGAACACACCGGTTGCGAACGACTTTTAAAATCTCAGATACGATTTTATTCCATGTCACACCGACTGCATATAGAGAGGCCTCGACACTGACACACTGACTGCATATAGAGAGGCCCCGACTAGGCAGGGTGGGCGGATCTGCGCTGATGTTTTCCACTTCTGTCTCTGTGCCACACAGTATTAAAACAATTTCCCACATTTGACTTGAACAGAGTGTGAAAAGTTATATAAAAATATAAAACTACGCCCCACTCAAAGAGTCTGTGCAGCATCTTCAACCAGAACAGATAGGTAATGAGATCTACGTCTACAGAAAAGAAAAACAGCAATAAATGCAGTGGGAGGGTTTATATGCTGACTGAGGCAGAGAGGTGATTCTCAGAGAGATCTGGGAAGTTTATCTGAGTTTTTCTTCTTTTTTTCCCCATAAAGAGGTGAGAGAAATAAACCACATTTACATGCTCTGTCTGCGACTTGTTCTTTTGTTTTTTGTAAGGCTAAAGAGGATCATTTTACTATATCTACTTTTTTTCCCCCTGACGGTATTTTTTTTGTTGATAAACTGCTCTTTCAGTCCATTGTTTTTGCGAGGCTCAAAGAGGAACACTACTTTGCTATTGTGTGTTCTCCTGAACCCTTTTTTAATGTATCATTCATTGTTTTTGCACAAGTCTGTCCCACTTGCTATATATGCAATGCATGACCTCCAAAACGGACTCTCTCTCTGCGTGATTAACAGATTTTATTTTTTATTTTCACCCAAAGCGGATGTGTTTTACTTTGTAACAGCGTCTCTTTTCCTGTCAGACCCATTGAAATTGCAGCTGAATTGCTGCATAGTCCGACTAAAACAGACATGGGGTCTATCTCAGTAAAATCGTGCCAGGTGTGATCATCGCCATTGACTTTCAATGAGCGCTAAACACCACAATCTGGTCGCACAAGATTTCCTGTCAGATCGGACACAAAATCCGAGTCTGTTTGTTCTGGCCTTCCGTCTTTAAACAGCTGCAATAGTTACCATAAAACATTGGAGATATTTTCTCTCAAGGATTTAAATATCTGATGTACTTTTGCAAGAAAATCAGCCTCCTCAAAGATTGCGTCATTTAATTTCAAAGTAAAAGCTTTGTTAAATCGTTGCTGAAGGAGAAAACATCAACTGTTATAAACAAATAAAAGTAAAAACTTACATATTTCTTCAGAACTTCTGGTTCAGAATTGAGGAATTTAGCCCATTGTTTAAAATCTGCAGAAGTTGGTTTCTGCAAAATTAGAAATATGGTTACATTTAGGAAAGCCCAGTGCTAATTCACAGAAACAAGAGATTGTTATGTTTCCATCAGCTTTTCAACCAGCATCAGACACTAAACCTTTAAAATACCATCATAGTTTGCTCCATTAAAGCCTTTTTTCCCCCTACCTTTCGTTTTGGTTTCTTCCGGTTGTGTTTACAGCGGTGTTTGCGTGTGTTGTATTTGGCCAGCTGGTACTCATTGAACTGCTTAAACTTGTCGACCATGGCCTTCTTCAGACACGTCGGCAGGCTGGGGCTGAAGCACTGAAGGAGGATAATCAGTTACTTTAAAGGAAAATGAAAATATGAAGAAGTTGATGATGACTCAGGCTTACCGTAGTGTAGATTCTGACCACTTCCAGCCAGTCAGAGGGGAGCTGCACTGCAGCACAGAAATATCTGCGGACATGAGGCTTAGTGGGGTTCAGACTGGCAGCCAGAGCCAATAGGAAGTTTGTAGTGATTCGGATGTTTAACTCCTGTCGGCTGTAAACTGCAACCTGGACGGACAACAAGGAGAAAACAGATGTTATATGTGATAAAATGTATAATAAACCTCATGACACTTTTTGCTGTTAATCCAGTTAATTGTTTTTATTAAATGATCTGTGTTTATGAACATAAAATAAAGGTAATTCTACTCAATTTATTGCTAATAGAAAAACCCCAAAAAGACGGGTATGTTTTTCCAAAAAGGTTTTCTGAATAGATAGGCTGTTTGGCTATCTATACTGTAATTATTTTTTTTAGATACTTTTTACTCCTACTCACATTTTTTTGCACAGATCTCTACTTTCTACTCCTCACAGTTTAAAAATTGACTCGTTTGTTTGTTTGATTGATTTAAAATCCTAGTCCTTAAGCATCCTCATTTACATTTTCCCCTAAATTTTCACCTTATGACATTATTTATAGGCTGCATCTAAAAATATCAAATATATTTTCACTTTAAACAGATATGAAATAATACAATATAACCTAAAATAACTTAAATTATATCATTATATCAGGTCATCATATTAATTCAGTTTAGTCTGTCCAATAAGCTGCTTGTAGTGTCTTTAAATGTCCAGCAGGTGTCAGTATTCTGTGAGACAGTATCAATGCAGCATCAATTTAGTTTGAATTCAGTTTAGTCTGTCCAATAAGCTGCTTGTAGTGTCTTTAAATGTCCAGCAGGTGTCAGTATTCCGTGAGACACTATGAACGCAGCATCAATTCAGTTTTTTTAATAAGTGGAAATGCTTCAAGATGCCTCATTAACCCATCACTAGCCATGACTGTGGAAGAATAAAATAAAATAATCATATTCAATTCTTTAAACACAGAATCCAGTTGGTTGATTTTTGGTTAATCTTTTAGACCTTAAATATGAGGGTAACCATTAAGAAAAAGCAAAAAAAAAAAAAAGGTAAAAAAAAAAAATGTTAGGAAGCAAACATTGCTTTTTATAGTGTTTGTAGTAAATTTTCCTTCTTCAATATAAGAAGAAAAAAAAACAGATTTGTAAACCACTTTGTTTTTAAAATGATCTTGCTCCCATTGCCTTTTCCGTTTATTTTTTATGGCTAAAATGACTCCTTCTACATGTTTGTCAACATTTGCAAAGTTTGAATTGTATTTAGTACAGAACATTCAGGGCCTTACCTGCACATTCAGGTAATTTATAGACAGATACATTTATAGATTACCAATTAGAACTGAAGCAGCATAAGAGATAACGCACAAGGATGTTTTCCTCCAGGATCTTTGTTGATTTATTTTCATGACAGACAAAGGAATCATGGGTTTAGTGTCTATTAGAGAAGATGGACCAAAACTGAAGAGAATGTGCACAGAAAGTCCAATAAACAGACGTTACACCAGCAAACGCACCTTAAGAAGAAACTGTGGGTCACCATCAGAGATGTCCTTGGCCAGATCAGTGATTCTGGTCCAAACACTGTTCTCTGAGTCCCAGTCCTGCTGGCCAGGAGCTTTGCTCTTATTAACCAGAGAGCAGCAGACTGCGTTCAACAGAAGGTACTGAGGGACAGAAAGGACAACAATCAACGTCCAGGAGTAAAAAACTGACATCATTTATGTTCTTACAGAATGCAGATTAAGAAGTAAAACCTTTTTATCTTTCAAGTCTTCCAAAGCACTTTTGGTTCCTCCATCTAGCTCTGCAAATTCCTCCTGCTTGATCATCCCAGCGTCATCGCTCTCATGGTCCCTCCACTCCATGTTGGTGACCGGTAACTCTGCGGCGGTCTCAGCGTCTCCTCCACCGCCGTCCTCTTCAGACATCTGGTCTTCATCCAGCTGCAGCAGTCAGTCACAAAATGCACCAGCAGATGAATTAAGACCGGCTGTCATGGAGATGCTTAACTTATCATTTTTTTAGAGCTTATTCTGCAGTTTAAACTAAACAAACACTTTTTAGTCAGGATTACTGAGATAGATTCCAATTGTTAGATAACAGAATAAAAGGGGAAATTTTATTAATTTGTTTCTTTAAAGTCAGACGTTTACATTTGCTCAGATAACTTGGCCTTTAAATAATTTGAGAGAGCCCAAATGATGTCAACTTCAGAATAATTGGTGAATTATTAATGCTAGGGCTGCTACTAACGGTTATTTTGCTAATTGATTAATCTGTTGATTTTTTTTTTTTTTGTATTAAATGACTTATAATCAAATAGCAAAAGGTTCCTTAAAGAAGGTTTTAAACCAAGTGAAACTAAAATATTTCCACTTGAGGAGTTCTGGATAGAGCATATTTACAGGAGAAAAGTTTTTCTACATCTTAAATGCAAAAATGTATATATATATATTTAAATTAAAGTATAATTGCTGCCCTAAGTGGGTCGCTCTGTCAGCTAAAGGCATGTTTTAGGGTCTTTATACTCCAGTTATTGATTAATTGATTACTAAATTAGTTGAGAATTATTTTAATAATCAATTGATCCGATTAGATGTTTCAGCATTAGTTAATTTACCACATTTGAAGATTGATCACAGAAAGCACGTCCAGAAGCTGAAGGTGTCCCATCCTTCTGGTCAAATATGGAGCTAAAACTACTCTAATTCACAGTGAAACGCGTCACGTTCCGATAAAAGGCAGAAAAACCCACTCAGAGAGCAAGAAGCCATTAGTCCACATTAATTTATATAAACCCAGACTACAGTAAGCAGGCAGGTTCAAAGACCTTCATTTCTCCACACGTCCTGTGGTTTTAGAAAGTGTAAGAAGAATTTTTATAACAACTGAATCTAAAGAACGGCGGTGTTAGCATCATGACCTGGGGTTGTTTTATGCAGGAAGAACTAATTTCTTTCCCCAGGCTTTAAAAAAAGAACTTTAGTTGGTAATATTCAGGAAATATTTCAAGATATCTGACAGAAAGTTAAATCTTGAGCACCAATAAATCTTTCTAAATGGACTTCAGGAGAACAAAGCCAGTAATTTTGGGTTGTCATCAGAAATGCCTGATCTCAGTCTATTAGAAAATGCATGGACTTAAAGGAAGAGGCGTTTATGGGGGAGAGGCCTAAGAGCCGACCTCTGATGTAGCAGCTCTGATGCTCTGTAAACTCAAAACATTTGACAGCCCTAAAGGTAATTATACAGAGAACTAAAGGAAAATGCATGTAAACGTCTGATTTTAATAACTTTTTTCCTCATTATTCTGGCATTTAGCAAATATAAATCCTCTTTGGCATCGAGTTTGACATAAAACTCAAAAGATTTAATCTAAGCTTGTGTCTAAATGTATGTAAACATTTGATTTGAAAAGCAAATAAGAAACACGGGTGTTTGTACCACGCTTGTTTCCTCAAAAGAGGATTGCATATCCTCTGAGATTTCCTCATCATCCTCATCCTCTGCTTCTTCATCAATCTTCTTTTCTCCACTCAGATTGCTCTTCAGGAATGAATAAGAACCAGAGACCTGAAGGTTCCCGGTCAGTGTTGAGAAGACCAAAGGGTTTGAGGGAACAGTAGAGGTCAAGGAAGGAGTAAGGGTAGCAGAACTAGTTGTTAGGAGTTTGTTGTGGGTGCTGAGGAGGGGGGAATCAGCTGAGAAAGAGGAGGAAAGAAGAAAGGAGGAGGTGGAGGACAGACTGGTTGGCTGAAGAGAAGAATGGGAGGAAGGTTGCGTAGGAAAGAGCGAGGACCAGGGTTGGGGATTTGTTGCTGAGGCCTGCATTAAAATCTTATTCTCCAAACTTGGCGGACAGTAGTTGGAGGTCAGACTGTTTCCACATGTGGGCAGATGTTGCTGCTCTCCTGAGGCCACATCCATCTTTTCCAAGGTCAGCGACCTCATGTCTGTGGAGAGAAGAACATACAGTACATGTATTCAGACCACCTTAACGGAGAAGCAGCTAAGAGGTTGATGTTTATTCTATAAGAAAAGATCAGACACATAAACCTCTCCACATTTCACTTTTATTTGTTGTATTTTAATCAGATCTGGTTTTTGAAAGTTTTAAGATGAACACAAAAAGTCTACTTCAAAGTTTGCCCCAAAAGCAATAAGAGCTGGGCAATTAATTGCATTTTGCCATATAATAATGCAAGTTGAGGCACAAAATAAAATCCCAACTGCAATATAAGTTGAAAAATAAATGAAAAATTGCAACTTTTTTTTTTAGCAAAATTGTTCAGAACAACAACCAATGTAGGGGAGGGGGGGGGGCTGCACAGAGGGGTGCAAGTGACTCTTTGGCTCAATGTTTAAAATAATTAATGGTCGCCCTGTTGTTTGTTTTGTTTTTTGTTCTTTTTTTTCTGTTTAGTGGCTTCATGAAGAAAAGAAGAAAAAAAAAGAAACCACCACTTCATGGTCAAAAGTAAAACTGCCTTGGAGAGAATACATGGGAAAATCTCTGAACCAGCCAGGTTTATTTCTATATAGTAGAGGTCACAGATTAGCGGACCGCGGTCCAGATACAGACCTACCTGCTGGCTAATTTGGACCCAACCTGATTTAAAACATTTAGAAATTACCGCATGTTGTCTGACAACAGTATCTAATTTTACTTGCACCACTTCTCCTGCTTGTACGGTAAAGCCCTGCGGAGCGTCCGGCACCAGGCTGGACGTGATGCAAATCAGCCAATGAGCTGCTGTCAGTCTGGGTTGCTGCTACTGCTACTTTCAGACAAAGCAGGATTCTCCATCATGAATATACTAAAAAATAAATATGGATCCAGGCTTCAAATGAGCACCTTGATATGTGCTTTAGAATGGCTTTGTCTCCATTCAAACCCAGGTTTAAAGCCTTGCAGGGCAGCATAAAGCCCACTGCTCTCATTAAGCCAGAAAAAAAGGAAGGAAAGATTAAAAAAAGGTCAGTTCAGGTGTTTTATAAAAGATATAAAAGTCAGGAAATCATCTACATGCCGACTTGTGAAGGATTGTTTAAAAAAGCAGTTTAGATTTAAAAATGGAAAAACGTTTTTTTCCCTTTTGTTTTTTATAAATAAAAAAATAAAAAAGTATAGCATGGATGCATAAACACCTCATTTTATTTCAGTGTTATATGCTGTTCAAAGTAATGGATTTTAATTAAAAATATCTCCAGACCTTTACTGGTTGTTTTCTTTTTTTTTGGACTCTACTGATTTTTAATCAGTCAACCCTGCTATACAGGTTCTTCTAGAATTTCTGTTAAATACTCCTGTGATTACTTAATCTCCTGTAGCCGGTGGTCAATAGAGGAACCCTTTCTATGACATGGGGGAAAAAAATCTATTATTTGCTTAATAGACAGATAGTTTCACCAGAGAGCCTTTTCCCTCTGATTAAATGCTTCTACGGTTGGTTTTAGACACTCCTTCTTCATTAACTTAATTTGAAATGTTTCCATATTATTTTGTCCAAAGCTGATCATTGATTTACCCGTGGAGACTTGCAACTAGAAATGTCCTTACAAAGTATTTGGGTTTTATTGTCCATAAATGAAGAACTAGATCCATTAGAGTAGCAGAGAGAAAGGGAAGTGAAAGCATTTGGATTCACACAATAAAAGGAATATATATAAAGACACATATCCAAGATTGCTTACTAAGAATAAATTAAATGTTTAACTGATCAAAGGCGTGAAAAATACAAAAATGTAATATTTAAAAAAAAAAAATATCTGAAAGTCCTGCATAATTTTTTGGCCCGCAAAAAATCCCATAAAATACAATTAGTTTTTTGCATAAAAAGTGCTAAAAAGCTAAGAACTTTAGGTTGCTTCATGGGGACAAAGGTGATAAGAACAGAACCACTCCTGCAAAGCTCCCTGAACCTTAGACAGCATTTAGTTCAGCAGCTGCTCCTCTGCATTCTTTCTATTGATCATGCCTGCTGTTGCCTACGGAAGAGGATTAGGGCCACTGGAAAAAAAAAAAAGTTAACGGATTTTTATTTTTATTTTATTTCAGTATAGTATGGGGAAAAAGTCAGAATTCTGACTTTAATGTCAGAATTCTGACTTTTTTTCCATGTTAAACTGAAATAAAACTTAAAAATCAGTTTACTTTTTTTTTTTTTTTCCAGTGGCCCTAATCCTCTTCCGTAGTTGCCTTTTAAGGTGTGTCTTAAAAAGAAAACAGATGACCTAGGAAACAGAATAATGGCATTACAACAATACATTAAATAAAGTCAAAAAAGTAATCAGTGCCTATTCATTATAATATGAATCCACCATATTTGGATTATATAAAGTTGACTTTCCTAAAGCAATACAACTTTATTAGGACCTAAAAACAACAACAACTCCTTAACAGCAATAATATCCAGGTTTGTACAGTAGGTCTAAAATATAACATGAATCACTTTGTATCTAAAGCTGGACAGAAGCGGATATAAACACTCAGTAAGCAGCCATCAAAGACTTTAGTCATTTTTAACCGTGACTATAATGAATGTCCAGAACAAACACTGAAAAATTCACCTGAATGCCTCTTAAACTCCACATACAAAGGACCGATTCTAACAAAGCTGTGACTTTACCGCTCGGTGTCCTGCTGGAGTTGATCTACCTATAAAACAGCTGTCAACTGAAACCAGGAACTGCAGAACTACCACTGTGCGTGCGCACATAGCAGGTGTTATGCTGAGATACGCAGCCATGCAGAAAACCGCGCCCCCTGTCGCGGGAACGCGCACTGCTTCAGGTTCTCGCATATTGATGAGAAAATTCATTAAAATATGATCGACGAGGCAGTCAGAGTTTTTAACACATTCGTAATTGTTGTGGCCCAGCTTTGATAACACACACAAAGAAAGAAATCCACAGAGGCCACAGATTCACCGTGGACAAGTAATTTACTCAGTTTTCTCAGTTTATTTCTCCTCATCCAAGCAAACAGAAAAGGACAAACATTTCCTCCATGCTTCTCTTCCACTGATAAAAACCAAACACAGATGCATGCTGGTCCTGCCCTTGACAGCCTATTAATAAAAATAATTCACCCAAATTAATCATAAATAACCAGAAACAAAGCAACATTACTAAATAACCAAACAACATGATCTCATAACAGATATCAAACAATAAAGTAGAACAAACTTAGCTGCATTATCCACATAAACAAAAAAACTTTGTTAATTATTAACAAAAAATAATTGGCTCCTACAGTATTATTAAAATATTTCTTATCCACCAATCTATTAGTAAAAATGACTGCATCTGATCAGCGTTATCAGTTATCACATCATCACAGTCACCCTGCAGTGTTATATATCTGAAGATATTTAAATACTGTTACACCCAAGTTCAGTGATATTGCATTATTTTAAATCCACCTTAAATAATACCTGAACAAACACAGACAAACTCCCTTATTTTTGATGTCATGATCTGCTGCAAAAACTGATTACTGTTGGAGACCTGAGACAATGCAACATTTTTACATGAGCTCCTGTCACTCAGACTATTTTCATACAATAAACTATCATGTGTCAATAATCAAAACCATTTAGAGGTGATTAAAGAGAATAATTTTTCACAATTTGCTTAATTATAGTCAAATTAACTAAACTATGAAATTCCATCATTAAACCAAAATTAAACACCAAAGATACAAAAAGGAAGAATTATGAGAACAACTATCTTACAAATAATGGAAAATGAAGATTAATCAGCCCTAAAATTTGCCCTGCAAAAAGAAACTAAATGTTAAGAATAAAGAAGAACCTTTTTCCACATAATCATGCATGTCTCCAAGGTATACGGTTTATATCAGTAGGCCAATATTTGGGGAGATGCATGGGGGCTGTTTGTAAAGTTAAGCAGTCAAAAATTAGAGAAATATTTATGATTATTTAGTGTATTTATAGAGAAAAGTAATTTTTTTCACTATGTCATTCATTCATTTATAAAAAATCTTATTTAGATATTAGTTTGGAGCTAAATATTTGGTTTGCAAATTTTGCAAACCAAATATTTAGCTCCAAAATAAATAATTATTTTACAAAGTAATATTTTTATTAATGAATGAATGACATAGTGAAAGAAATGACTTAGTAAAAAACAACCCCCATATTTTTTTCTTAAAATCCGGTAAATAACTATAAATATTTCTCTAAATTTTGACTGCATAACTTTACAAACGGCGCCCCATAGATGCAGATCCCTGCAGCCCAGATATATCTGCATCCCCTGATAACTTTGATAAATAAATTGTTAGAAATAATAAAGAATGTTCTTGATAGAAAAGCGGGAATTGTTATCCCCAGTGCAGAGAACATTTTCACAAAACACTAACTGACATAAACTCAAACCTCTCTTTACAGAAGCGTCAAAACCGCATTTATTAAAGTGTATCTGCCAACCAAAGATTCCCCTTTTAGAGCACTCATGGATAAAAAACCATATTACATCAGAGATATGTTTAAAGGAGCCTCCTTCCTCATTTTCCAATCCCTTTTCTCAACAGTATGCGGGAGCTTAGAGCGATGCGCGCTCCCGCAGCAGGGGCGCAGTCTCGGCAGGGACGCCTTTGTCAGCATAACACCACGTGTTTAAGGACTGGGCGCGGTTTAAACTGCGGTCATGCGGAGAGAGACTGTATGGCAGGCCGTCCTGCCATTTATTAAGAGAGCTCTCCTCTGTTGTCCCACTTGTGGATCATTCATAACTTAAATAATATGCTATTTTTCCTAAATAAGATTTTTGCCAACCGAAACTGAATTCCAGGATGTCGAAAAAAATAAAATGTTACTTGTACGAATAAGGTTTCATCCATCCATTTTGTCCCACTTTATTGCTGCTGGGGTTGTGAGGGCTGCTGGTTCCTATCTCCAGGTTAGAGGTGAGAGGCATTCAGCTACCTAGAAATCTTTACACAGTATACGAATATGGCAGGCTGTTTTTACATTTATATCTTCACTAAAATGCGTTTCAGATATGTATTTATTCCTATCTAAAGTTTATCTTAACATTTCAGATACTTGAATTAGTTTATTGAATCAGATTATTTAAACGTAATATCTACTGGCAGACAAGTTATTTATTATATTTATATTACATTTCTGACTAGGAATATTGTAACTGTGACTAGTTAGAATGCCCTAATGTTATCTATATTAGAAATGTGACTAATCAGCTTATATATAAATGTTAAGTATAGTTCCATTGTTCTGCTAAATAAATATATGTTTGCAAGTATTTAAAACTGCATTTTGCATGGGTATTATTAACATTGAAATTCCGATCAAACTAGTAATAAAATAAGTAGTTGAAAAATAATTTTAATATATGCGTTAAATCCTGTGAGTAAACATTTAAACACCAAGATCCAATTGAAATACGCAGCAAATGATCTAAACTTAATTCAATTCTACATAAGATAAATGTCTCCCCCATAATTTTAGCAGGTATATAAGATACTCTGCCTATTTCATAAATATTTGTTTCCTTTAAAGCTGCAGTCTGTAACATTGAGGAGAGAGCAGACTTCGACTGAAAATTTGAAGAAAAACTGGTTTCACGCCACTCCCCCTCTCTGCTTCACTCATGCCCCACCGCATGCGACGGGGGGGGATCGGGGTTCAGCGTGTGTGAGCTGTGATTGACACTCCATCAGACGCTCCTCTGGCTGTGATTGGTTGTTTTGACTCGTCCCGAATTATTCTTTCCAGATTGAAATACAGGCAGTAGGCGGGACCAATTGAAGCAGTTTTTTTTTCACAGGTTACATATCACATGTACTGCTGTCTGGGCATAGGGACAGTTTTAGCCAATATGACAAAAAAGTGATTTTTAAAAACTTACAGACTTCAGCTTTAAAATAAAAAAATTAGAGGCAAAATTTGGCATTTGAAATCAATTAATAGTTTGGGGTTTTTTTGCTTATTTTGCAGGGAAATCATCTTATCCAATCAGCTGTTTTTCTTGCCTACTTAAATCAAAGAGAAATATGTTAATGAGAAGAAAATTGACTGACTTTTATTTCAGTTTTTTTTTTTTTTTTTTTTTTTTTACAGTGTCCTGTCTGGCAAGATGGCAATAAGAATAATTGTCTTGATGCCAAAAGGAGCCCAACACATTTTACTTTCACAAGTGTAGCGGTATGGCAATTGCCATACTGCTCCACTTGTTTCATGTATATAAATTGCTTTATTATAATTATGCAGGGAGTTTTACAGTTCATATGGACACTGCAATGTAAATAGAGCAGAAAAACAGAAGAAGAAGAAGGAAAAAGAAAAAGGAAAAAAAAGGACAAAAGATGAAAGAAAGAGGAGATAGGAAGGAGAAAATGACAAAACATTTTCAGTCTGCTTCATCACCTGCAATGAGATGAAAAAAAAGAACAGCACAACCAAAAGACATGGTACGAGATATACAATAAAGCAAACACCTTGAAACTATCGCTAAAGTAATATTATTAAGTCTGACATGTACTCTTTGTTACCTGAAGATATGAATGTGGGCTTTCTGTATGGAAGTGAATCTCTGAGTACCTGGAGCCTAGCACCTGTAATTGTTTGTGAGGGTGAACTTGTGCATGTAAAGTTTTAACCATAGAAAAAATGACCAAAAGCCCCAGGCGCCCAAAGGGACCCCAGAAGCGAAGGCACCAAGGCGGGGCCAGCCCCAGAAATCAGACCCCCACCAAGGGAGGAGGAGAGACAGCCACGAAAAAGCCCCCCAGCCACCGCCATTCCGGCGCCCCGGGGAGCCGCGGGGACGAGTCCGCGGGCCCCGCCGGCAGCCGGCCACCCCGAAGTAGGGCCAGGCACCGAACACCAGCCCCCCCACGGCACCGACCGAAACGCCCCAGCCCCACAGAGCACCGAAACATGCCCCGCCCCCCGGCACCAAGCCCCGGCGACCGGCCGCAACACCCACCGCGACCGCACCACCCAGGAAAAACACTATTTCAGTTTTTACAGTGCATATGTAACACAGTGTTGGGCTAGCTACTTGTCCAGTGTAGTGAGCTAAGCTATCAGTTACTCAACAATAAATTAAGCTTCACTACACCAATGCTACCACCTAAAGAATTATAGCAAGCTAAGTTACACTAATGTGTTAAAAGTAGCTTAACTACATCAGAAGCTACTTGTACCAAGCTAATGTCAATTCAAAATGAGTCTGACACACTGGTTAAAATATTTATTAAAGATCAGCCAATGACATAACACAGTGTAAACATTGCTTTATGATCAGCATAATAAAATAAAAACTGAAGTAATTACTAGTAGACAAACAATCTGCTGTTATTAGAACCAAATGAAAGGTACTGTGTAGTGTTCTACACATGGAGACATGGCTATGAGTTTGCATTCAATGGACATCTCTAGGGAAAACAAAACCCTACAAAAGGCATCTTATTTCTTCAGGGTCTCCCTTAGAGAAAACCTCTTCAGACCTCAATTAAACAGTCGATTCAAGTAACAAATGAAACTGTTTACAAAAGAAGGTGAAAAAATAAAGAAGCTAATTAAGAGATATATATACATTTATGTCTCGCTGTATAATTTAATTTCTACCTACATATTTATTCATTGTATTTTGGGGGGTAATTAATTGAATCCTTATTTATTTATTGAGCATGTATTTATTTATGTATTTCTTTTTATATATGGGAGAGCTGTTCCTCCATACCTAAAAAATCTTATCTGTGCAAATAAGCCTTAAAACAGATTTATGTAAACATCCTGTCTGGTAAATTAGGCCATGAAAATACAATATCGAAGTTTGGCTACTGCTCTCTAATGAGAATATCTTAGTGGCACTCATCAGATTTAATTATCTGGAAATTAAAGGCGCCAATAAAGTTAAAGCTGATATATTTTTCTCATTTTTATTTCAAAAAAATTTACTGCAGTTGACTGTTTTAATGAGTGTTTGGCTATGTAAAACAAATGGCTAGTCTTGGCCACATGATCTCTCTATGGCCAAGAACCTTGAAAATCACTCATATTTGAATAACTGAACATTATAAAACACCAGGCTAATCATATTTTACGATTATAATAACTGCATTTTTTTAAACACTTTTTCTTAGCCACTTGGATAGTCCCTTTCCATCACACACTGCTTGTTGGTAGGTGGGTAGCTTTGTTTTTACTAATTTACATATAGTATTTGGCTAAAATGAGTTGGGATTTATACTGACGCTAGATATTTTCAGTTGCATACTGCAGGAGGGAAATCAGTGATTCACCTGAATGTGAGTTCTTAGGTTGGTGTTCAATGTCCTGGACATTGACAATGGTTTGGTTTTTGGATTGCAAAGCAGACATCTGCACACGTACTTTTTATCAGAGGATTCAACAAGTTTCATAATCTCTGAAGATAAGGCCACGGTGTGGTAGGGACAGTTGGCTGCTCTTCTCGCTCTGCTCCTGTCTCCTCCTCCATCCTGTGTGTGTGGCTCTTTGTGGCTGCGGGTGTCTGTGTGTGTCATTCATTGAGTTCCACTACAGTGCGCATGCGTATGTTTCATAGACACAGACAGGAGAGGCAGAATAGAGGCTCATGCATGAATGTCCAACGAATAACTCAGATTGTTGTTTCAAAATAGAAAACCTGCTTTCATTACTTAGTTTTGCCCTGGATTTTGTAGCGTTTGTGGACGCTACGTCGCTACTTGATAAAAACAATAACTTCACTACTGGAAAGTTACTTGATAAATAAAGCAGCGACGTTACGGTCAAGCTACTGGAACATGTAGTAAAACTAATAGCTTCGCTACATGTAGCGGCGCTACTGCCCATCACTGATGTAATGGACACATATCTGTGTCACACAGGTTGTGAATTGGTCCTGTGTAAATGACCTGGAGTTCATTTGAAAGCGATCAAGGAGAATAAATGAAGAGAAATCTGAACCTTCTTACATTTCAAATAAATGGATTCAAGTCAGATGTTGTTCTGTTATAGATGTAGACCTCTTGTTGATTCTGATTTGATGGGTTTTATTAAATCTCCTTCCATCTCTGGTTTTTGTAGGCAGTGGCTCCATTGCGACAAAGTGACCCCTCTGGGAGTAGATGACACAGCTGGCAGGTTACACATGATGGAGGGCCGCAAGTCCAGCATCCGCAAGTCTGTACAGGTGGCGTACGACCGCGCCCCGTTCCACCAGAGCCGAGTCCGCTCAGCCACTGCTTTGTGACCTCTAACTACCTGTAGAGATCAGAGTCCCAGACTGAACCACTGGTGTGGGACACACAGAACCGTTCTGCTCAGGCTGCTTTGTGTCATTAGAGGAGATGATGGAAATGATGAGACCTTAAGCCCCACCTTGCTGCTGTAAGCATTAACTCCCCATTCAGGGATGTGTTGGTGTCTGTTTACTCCGACTGGATCTCATGAATCTGTTTGATCAAATGTAACTGAGCCTGAAATTAATGAAACCTGCTGGATCAAACGGACATAGAAGAGATTTGACCTTTAAATGACCTGCAGGAGACTGATGGATGCATCACTGCCTTCTTTTATACAACAGCTTTTCTATGTTTTAAACTTTTTTTACTAAAGACTCTTGTATATTTTACTGACAGTGTCTTTTTGTACATATGTCTGTGTCTAATTTAATGTTTTAAATGCGTATTTCAATCAGCTCCTAAAGGGCAAAGCAAAGGCTCTGTGTGACGATGAAATGATAAATGGACTGTATGGTAGGTTAAGAGTTTGCATTGTGTATTCTGATGAGCCGATTTATATTTGAAATCTCTTTTTGATACAGAGAAATAATTTATTGATGGAAAACAAACACTAGAAATAAAGTTATATTGGTTAAATTGAGTTTTTATTTAAGATAAAGAGATGTTTTTTGTTTTTTTTTTCAGTTTCAAACTCATCACCAAACAGCAGATTTTTCCGTTGACCCTCATTGATTTTATTTATTTCCTAAAGCCCTATTTCACCCATTAAACAGTTCACCCTGATAAGCTTTTTGCTGAGGTTATATTTTACCAGGTTAACCTTTTTTTTTAACCACTCGTTAATAACCATATTTTGAAAACATCCTATCAAATAACTGTTGATGTATGTATCTGCTCGTGTCAACTCTTGTAGCTTTGAAGGCATTACCCACCGGACAAAGCAACCCGGCTGTGAATGACTACTTTTCAGGAAATCCCGCCTTTTGATGCTCTACTCTTCTTCCTACTAACTTGAAGAGTTTGAAGTCAGTAAGCAAAGTTGTCATTACATACATGCAGTGTTGGATGTTATACTCAACAGGAGTACTTGAGTAAAAGTATTTATACTCATAGTCAAATCTTACCCATTCATCTGATCTGTATGCCACTAATACTCAACTAAAGTCACTATTCTACATCTTGCTATGTAGCAGCAGCAGGAAAAACAACCATGGCGGACGATAATGCGGAGAGCATTCTTTATTTTCAACCATCTTGAAAAGATTGTGTTGTTAATGCGCTGGCTGAGGCTGGGAAAGAAATGAAAGACTGCAAATGCGCTCCAGCTCTACCTTCCATGTTTACTTCCGTAAACACAGAACACGCTCCTTTGTGAGACTTAAGTTGAATGAATTCAGTTCACAAAGGAGATTACATATTTGGAAATGTGATCAACCATGTAAAACAATTATATTTCCTAAATAAAAAATAATCGAACAGCACATTAATGCCTGCAATGTGAACGTAGCCTTAAACATGGTCATCCAGACATGAGAATGGCAGAGGTTCCAGATGTTCATTTAAAGCTGCTTTATCTATTCCAAAACCAGTTTAAATGTGTTTAGAATCATCAATCCATTTAAATTCATTTCCCACATTTCCTCTGATAGAATATAGAGATGGAAACATTAACTACTTGGTTTCTGTTAAAAGGGGCGAGCGATGCAACCCTGAGGGACCAAGTATGGTAGAGATATAAATGTATAATTAAAAGAAGAAAAAAGCATCTTTTATTCAAATTAACCAAAGCCGTTTGCCTTTGGGTTCACTAAACATTTCATTCTTGCCATCTTCCTAGTTGATTATATTTTTTCCTGTTTTATTTTAACATTCATCTTTATTTATTCTCCCATATTTGTTTGTTGTTTTTTGTATGGTTCAGTGTTGAAGTGTCCCTTCTGCTCTGCTGTTAAACTCCCAGATTGTCTATAAGGTCAATAAAATGAGAAGAACTGCAGGAGGAACGTCTCACCGTCCTTATTTAGAGCTAATTTCTTTTGACACTACAAAGTGACAAGAACGAGTATTCTGTTAACATGAGCTGTCAGGTCAGACCCCCCAACAGAGAAACAATAATAACTACCAAAGCGCTGGACTATAGTAATATTAGGACTCTTGCTCCAGTTAACTTCAGTTTGGTTTATTTATAAAGAACCAATTTACAACCAGTTATTTCAAGATACTTTACCAGAAAATACAAACAGATCCTGTTCACATTACAGCAATCAAACCTTTATTATAGTGAGAAATAACAGGTAAAGATAAAACGACAGGAAGCATCCTTCAACAGAACCAGACCCAGTAAGGGGATTTAATATAATTCATTCTTAAAATAGAAACAAGTCCCAACAAATGTCATCTAAAGGCAATTAACATGACAATTTTAATACGGGAACACGTAACAGAAGTCAACACAAACACAGAATCAAATCTAAACGCAAACATCCAATTAGATCCTATTTACAACATGGTGAAGATAAATTGAGTTTATCATGGTGTTCAGAGAAACGTCTTCAATCCAAGGAAGCTCAGCCAATCACAGACAGTCGTTAATTTTGCAGCAGTCCTTCCTCCTGAGCAGTGAAGTGGTGACAGTAGAGAGGAAAAGCAGCTTTAAGCAGGAAGGAACCTCCAGCAGCTCAATGTCAGCGGCCATCTACTGCGGCCCAGCGGGTCTTTAACAGGACAGCAGACGTCCAACAGACACAGAGGTGCCGGTCCAAGGAGCAGATGACCTTATCTGGAAAAGAAGAACAGGAGTTAGTGAACAACACGCTAGTCTGTGACATTTAAACACATGAACACTGGGAGAGGTGGAACTTTGACCAAGAGAAGAGGGAAACACACAGGGAGAAGCTAAAGTTAACAGCAGTGATAACTGTAGACAATGGATGCTTGGAGAAAATGCCTGAAAATGCTGCATTTGTTGGAGTCTTCAGTCGGTTTCATCAGGGTCGTTTCTCTGCTTTAATAAGTTCTAAAAAAAAACCTTCAGAGATCAACCAGGGGGAAATTCTCCCATATTATGTGGTCTAATGTAAAAGTCAGAACTTCTGGGTCTGGTAAAGGTTTGGTTACAGAGATACAAATAGAGGTGAACATCCATTCATGATGGAAAGATGAAAATTAAAGGTTAAACCACCTTGATGGGATGGTTGTATCTTTTAAATCTGTTTGTTCTGGATCTGTTTTTAGTATCTTCACCAATACTGATGAACATCTGGAAGCAATAAATGTTCGTTACCTTCTTCTACTGGGTGGAGCAGACTGATGGTTTAGCTGCGGGGTCGTCATCGTTATTTTACTCCAGGACTCCAGAACGTTGGAGAGAGAGTCTGGTTTCTCCATCCTCTTCTTCAGCTCCTTCATCAATGAAAGCAAAGTGTCCTCAGAGTCTGTCTGCATGTGATGCTTCTCTAGTCAAACAACAACCAACATACCTCCAAACACGTGTGGATGGACTCTGTTCCAATGTGATCCGACTGCTAGAACATTGCTTCCATGTTAAACCAGCTTTCCCTGAAAAAAAATATGACAAATTAATCTACAGAATTGACTCAACACCAAGTTGAAATCTGGGGCAGGATGTTGTTTTCATCATAATCTGAGTCTTCCTGTGTTTCAGTGACTGTTAGCTTTTAATCAGGCCTGGGAAGCTTTAGTTCTTGGTTTGTGGTGTTAATAAAGTCTTACTCCATGTGTTTTCTGTTCCAGTCTTTCTCTGTGCCGTCCTCAGGTGGGGACTGGGAAGCTCCTCACCATCCTGGATGTCCCGGTTCCTCACAGAAGTTCTGCTTTTGGACGTCCACAGTGTCTGAACATACATGAAAAACTAAGTGAGGCCACCTGAAATGTTAACTTTCTATTTAAAAGATGGATTATTGTTGCTCCTTACTGAACATGCTCTCACTCTTTGTAAAGGTCAGCAGCCCAGATGATCCTCCTCTGGTTTGGTCGCTGCAGATCTCATCAGCGTCTTCTGATGGCCCAAAGCTTGGAGAGGCTCGGTCCAACATGGGATTCAAAAAACACAGAAGAGATCCACTGCGGTCAGAACAGGCCTAGATCATATGAAGAATATTTCTGCAGAGGGTTCTTCTCCCTCAAAGTAGGCCTGAAAACTAACTGACCAGAGGAACATCTAGAAGTAGACCAAGTCACATCAGAAAGCTGTTTCTAACAGTCGGCTCCTCTCACAACCCAAATCCCTACATCAGTCCTGTCCTCTGCCTCAAACTGCTCTAAAATCAATTATCAAGCGTCATCTCTCTACCTTTTCACCAACATCCCAGAGACCAGTTCAACTGATGATCACCACAAGCTGTGTCTCTGTCCATTGTATCCAGTTTGTCCCCAGCAGCATCGTCCTGCTCTAGATCAGGCTTTCAAACTTCACTCCTCCAGAGCTACTATGCTGCAGCTTTTAGTCACATCTCTTCTCCATCAGACCTGAATCAAAGGGCTGAATTCCCTCATCAGTCATTCAGCTCTGCAGAGGTCTGGTAAAAGGCTGTTTGTTTGATTCTGGTGTGTTGGAGGAGAGATGCAGAAACACTGCTGTAGAGGACTGGAGTGAGAAACCTCTGCTCTAGACAGCTTCTAATCAGCCTCCACTACAGCCGCTTCTCTCTGCCTGTAGACTTTAAGTTGAGCTCATCTCCACGTTTAGGGTTTAAGTTTGACCTCCTCCGTTGTCCTCAGCAGCGATGTCCAGCTGTTTCGTTGGATTGGTTTGCCTCCTTGTGGCTTTCAACCAGGATTAATGTTTTGTCTTCTGGTGTTTTTATTTGTTTTTTGTTAACTTGCCTCCACTCTGTGCTTCACCTTGTTGAACATTCTTCTTGTTCTTCTATCAATCCTTTGTTTGTGTTGCCTTCTGTTAGCTGGCCGACTGTCCAGCTCTGATATTAGATGTAGAACATGTTAGATTATGTCTGCCTTAACCAGCTCTCATGTTCCAAACCATGTTGTCATGTCCTCAGATGTCTGTGCTAAAGACAATTCTTAATATCTAAAACTTAAATCAAAATCTAGCAGTGGGGTAAAGAAAAGCCACGGTGCAAGACGCTACCTAAGGCATCCCTAGACCTGCCAGATATGAAAACACACGATAAATTATATCTAGGTGGAATTGGTCTTCCTAAACATCCCTCTCATGACAAGGCCTCTTCCCAGGGAGATCCTCTTCATCGTCTTCCTCTCTTCTCCTCCTCCTGGAGACACGGTCTTCTGGGCACTCCAGGGTCTCCTCTGGCTCCTTGTGGTTCCATGGAAGGCTGAAGTTGGGGGGAATCCTCTGGGTGAACTGAAGATGTGGGGGAAGGTGGCCATCGTCTTCATGGTCTTCATCATCATAATCTTCCTCAGAGCTTGTGGTGTCAGGAGACTCACCAAAAATTGCCCTATAATTATCCTCATAAGTATCTAACTCCTCCTCCTCCCCCTCCACTATTACTTCTAAGTCTACCTCATGCCTCAGCACCACACCTATGCCTATGAGGTGTTCCTCCTCCTCGTTATGCTCCATCACCAACTCTATGGCCTCGAGGTCTATCAGCTCCTCATCATACTCTAAATTCACCACTAGTTCTCTGAATTCTACCTCCTCATTATCATCCTCACTGTTAATGGGGTACTGATTTAAATTACCCTCATGCTCTATCCAGAGTTGGGGCTCTGGGTCAGGATCAACTGGAAGCGCGGTGTCAGGAACTGTGAGGAAAAAAATAATTAGACCAGGAACATTAATTAAGGTACATTAAATGAAAAGAAATAAATGCTTTATTTTAGGTTGCTGGATGTGCCTGTGTTACTTTGTCAGGTTTAAGTAGATTTAATCTGTGAGAACATCAATCTGTGAGCTAAAATAACTCAATAAAAAAACATAAACAATGCTAGTGGTTTGGTTAGTGTTAAGATATAAAATACTATTGTAAAAGATCACATACACACAAAAATACATTAAGACAAACATTTATATATGAGACAAATGTGTAGATGATTGTGTTCTCCTGTCTCTGCATCAGCCTGAGGACCATTTTTCTGACTTCACACTGAGGACTGATTGTTGTAAAGGGGAACATTTTGCTGCTCCTCACCATCTATCTTGCTGACGACTAAGTTTAGAACAAAAAAACTACAATATCCTTTAAATCACAAGACTACCATGACATTGTAAGTTTATTTTAAATCTAAATGTTTATTTCACTGTTAAATAGGGCTAAGAATTTTGTTTTCAGAAAGTTATCATTACAAAAAAATAATTAGCTCTAAATGGTCCATTTATTTAGTTTATTTCTACCACGTCCCCTGCAGTTAAAATGTGCTCCCACTAGGGGGCACACACCCCCACTTTGGGAACTAAAGCGTTAAGATTAGTTCAGATTAAAGGACATTTTAAGCTGTCAGTAAAAATTGTTTTCATTAAACACATACTACCAAATTAGAAATAGTTTTGATCTATTAGATAGATTTCTTTATTTCTAAAAAAAAGTTTCATTGGCTGATTTGGTAACATAATCATCAATCTTTGAAGTTCATTCACTATAAGCAGAAAATTATACTAATTAACAGAAATAAAGGCTTGATAACATCAAGCTTTAAATTTCAGATCTATAATTTCTCAGCTTATCAGACCCCTCCTCAGTGCATCCTAGAGTAAAAATAAAAAAACCTTTAAAATCAAGCTTTTTTTAACACCTTTGACTTTCCATTAAAGTTGAAAATATAAGCCATCTTAAAAAGTCCTAAAGTTATTTAATGCATTCTACTAAGGTATCCATGGAGACCAATATGTTTACCACTGCATGTTTTAAAAAAGACCTTCCTTTTCAAGTTCAAATATATTTTAAAAAAATCCGTTTTATCCTGAAATATTTTATTTTTATTTTTTCAACCATTTCCACATTAAATTCATCATAGATTATTCTCTCAAACCAAACTTTGTTTCTGTTTTACATTATTGCATCTCTGTTATCATTCCTCCCATTTCCAACCAATAAAAAGTAATCAAATACATAATACGCCTTAAAAAAAACTTTTTTTTTTAAAAACACTGGTTAAAAACATATAATTTCCTAAACACATTTACTAAACTTAACAACTTGAGAATCTTCATTTTTTTTCAGTTAAAATGCACTGAAATTCCAAAATACTCCAAAATAATCTTTTTCTTTTATTAAATAGGAAAATAAACAGTTTGGCTTGATAATATATTATGTCAAATGTCCTTCTAATGTCTTTTTAAATTATTTAATGTATTTTCACCAACATTTCCATACAGAGGCAGGGCATTTTTTAAATATGATAGACCTAGTTCCATCTAGTTTTCAAACATTTCACATAAAATTCAACAAAGGTGTTTTTCTGAAACACACATTTTTTTAAATGATTAAATAGCTGTTAACATTTCTGACAAAATCAGTAAAAAACACTTTTATTCTCTGAGATGTGATGGATGCTAGATGCTAAGCTAGCTGTCACAACTTCGTGAAAAAACATTAAAATAATAATTTTTCAATTCAATTTTTTTTAAATTAACATGGTAAAAGAGTGAAATAAACCTTCCAGATGATCGTCCCAGAAGTTGTTGTCCTCTGGTTGCCTGCACATCTTTAACAGGTTAGCGAATCACAGACTGCAGCAGTTCAAGCTTCCAGGTCCAGGTTAGAAAGGATCCGTTAAAGATGGCTGCCACTTTTACAGGTCTCCGTTTCCATGGCAGCGGGTGAGCGTGCGCACGCGCGCGTGCGTGAGAAGCATTGGGGAAAACTTGCTAATTGCAGCTAATTAGCAACAAAAAAGCACGTTTTTTGTGCAATTATAAAGTTTCACCCTCACCTAAAGGTGAGTTCAGTCAAAGCTGGATTTAATGAAGCAAAGCAGCGAGTTCTAAAGCTCACTGGCCGCTTTCTAAGCTTTTCTACTTGAAATATTGTGCAATAAATTGAATTTAGAAAGAAATTTCAATCCAAATGAGAGAGGTGTTTTTTTCCCAATCGCCATTCAGTTTTTGCATCCATGTACACATCCATTCAGACCTTTGGAGTGAAATAATCTACATTGCATATGTCCAGTGGTGGACGAAGTGCTCAACAGTAGTACTTGAGTAAAGTATTGATACTCATTGTCTAATCTTACTTAACTACAATTCAAAGTAGTCAAGTTGAAGTATTGAATCTTCAAAATATTCAAGTGAGGATTCAAAAAGTATTAGTATTCAAAAATACAAGCAAAATGTTATAATATCAGTATTTTTCTGTGTAATTTTCAGTCTTTTAAAAGAGCTTGATGCGTAGAACCACCTGATACCAATTCTACACCACTTGTAAAGAACTTCAGCATAAAAAGGCACAAAAAATAAATACAGCTATCTTGATTATTATTCATTATTCAAAAACAAACCAAAAAGAAAACAGGAGAGCCTTGATTCTCCTCAAACTGTAAAGGTTTAATGTTGAATCTATTACCACAAAGAAACTACAACTCTGATTTGAGAACTTATCTAACCAACCTGGCCACATGGCACAACTTATGCCTTAATAAAATTAATAAACTATCAATAAGATCTGCCCTGAGTTTCTCACATTTGGGGAATGTCATGCTAATCTCTAAACCAGTGGTGTCCAAATTCAGTCCTGAAGGTTGCTATCTTGAATGTTAAAATTGCTTTTCAAGAAGGAAAAACAGCAACAATGGATTAAAAAGCTAAACTGAGCCGAAAGGAAGAAGTAATGAGCACCCCGTTCTTAACTACATCAATCAAGTAAATGTACTTTGTTCCTTTCCACCCATGGTGGAAGAAATGGAAATGTATTGAGGGCTGTAGTGAACGAAATTTCATTTTGTATACACCCTGTGCAGTGGTGTCAAAAGTACACACATTTGTTACTTAAGTAGAAGTATAGATACTGCAGTTTAAAAACACTCTGGTAAAAGTTAAAGTATCAACTTGACCTCTTTACTCAAGTGAAAGTGAAAAAGTATGTGCTCCAAAAACTACTTAAAGTATAAAAGTATAAAGTAACCTTTAAAAAAAAAAAAAACAGCCAGATGCCACTATATGAATTGAAAGCTAAATTTTTCAAATAT